TTTTAGCATTTTTCGAAATTCTTCGTATAAGGGGGTAAAATAGGAGATGAAAGTTAGTATGATATCAACCTTTTTAGAGTTTTTTTGTAGTGTTAGAGCGAGCGAAGCGGCGGGTTCTGCTAGTAATACCTACATATATGTATACTTGAACATGTGTGAGAATCGTCTTATGCGATAGTATTCATTAGTCTATTTATATTTATTTAGTAAACATTGTTTATGACATTGTAAAATAGATTATTATTTCACTTAATTATGACTTTTCTTTAAATTCCCGCTCGCTACTGGGTACAAGTTCCATAGTCCACCACGCTGGCCAAGTGCGGGCGGACTCCACGTCTTTCGAAAACTTGCTAGCTTCTCTCAGACATGTAGGTTTCCTCACGATGTTTTCCTTCACCGTTAGGTAAATAATTTATTAATTATGATTGACTTTTCAAAAATATCACATTGACAAAACGCATTGTCTATACAGGTTGCGGACCCGCTCGTAATCCGCATCTGTAGGTTCCAAAATCGCATGAAACATATTAAATCACTTAAATAAATTAAATAACCGTACACTAAGAGAAGTTACCTGTAATATATCTACATTAAAATCTCCACAAACTTTTTCATACTTGCAGCGCAAGTTTGTAAGCGCTTTACTACTGAGCTACCACTGCCTTCTAAATTATTGATTGAATGAAATATACATTTACAACATAATATATGTACATATTTCTAATAATCATTACTGTCAAAATATTCTTAGTAAATTTGTGTAATAGAAGTAAAGCAGTAAAAATTGCTAAAAGTATTTAAGAGATTTAAATCAAATTAAGAATTTCATGCAAAGCAATCCAGTTCGCAGTAGATATATCTAAAAATTTAATATAACAAATGTAAAGTCCTTCGAGACGTCTAAAACTTAGTATTTCCCGTGACCATGATTGCTGTAAAGCATTCGAAACGTCGTGAACCAAAAATCAAAATAAATCCGCGAAAAGATTCGAAAAGATACTTTTCTTTAAAATTTCTAATATTTATGTAAATATAAGAAAGTATTAAATATAGTAATTATAAAGAAAACAAGTTTTTAAATGAGGTAGAGCAGTGGAATCGTTTATGTATGAACCATGACCTTACACAACTTGTATGTTACGTAAAGGCCCCACACTGTGTACGCGTGCGCGTCGCGTGCAAGGGTCAGTGTTGCATACAGACGGCGACCAGACTATATCACCCGGATGCAGCACTATCAATATCCGACTAAATAATATTTTTCCATATCCTGCTAGATAAATGGGACATTAGAAGAGACTGATTGAGAACAGGTCCGGGTGTTTGTACTTAAAACGCGGTTGCTGCGTGATTTATAATGTTGAAGGATGTTTTGTGTCGATAGTGGTGTTAAACATAACTTTAGACTTTGTTTATTCGATCTAATCTTTTTATTTGTCATATATATAGTATTTCGAATATATAGATATTTTATTTGACATTTAGTAAACTTTTAAGAGAACATAAAATCACCTGTTGATATATTTTGTTATTTTTTCTATTTACTACGGTAGGCCGCGGCTCCAGTCATGTAATTTTTATATAAATATGAACAAAGGTCTTATGTAAGATGTTAGATAGCCTTAATTAAAAAAAACGCATAGACTAACACATAGGCTGTAAGACACCTAGGGACGCACCCGAGCGAAGCTAGGGTTAGGCGCTAGTATAGTTAAATTCAATAAAGATATTTATTGATAACAGCGACTCACCCTCGCTTTGCTCAAGTTCGTCCCTAGCTTGCTTCCCCATACAAACTTTCATTCCCATTCTCATCCCCCTTAAGGGATGATTTCCGGGATAAAAACTATTTCACTCACTCTTTTCATATCATGAGATTTAAAAAAAATCTTATTTTAGTAAAAAAAATTGTTCTTTTAATTTTCTTCTATACAAAACTTGTCCTGAAAAACAAACACAAAAAAAGAATTATCCAATTTGGTGCAGTCGATCGGAAGTTATGCGTACATACATTTCGGTGATTAATTTTTATTTATATATAAGACTATAAGTCGGGATTTTTAAGAACCGGCAAAAATTAAACTTATGTGTTGCTCTGAAATACAAAGAAACAACATTAAAAGTTATTGCCAGGTTTTGTCGAATCCTTTTTACAAATAAAACCTATTAAATGCTTTTCAGTCTGGCTTCCGTCCTTCGCACAGTACGACTTCCGCTTTGCTAAAAGTCACTGACGATATTCGTTTCGCCATGGATAATAAGAAAGTGACTATTCTTATTTTGCTTGATTTTAGTAATGCCTTCAACTCAGTGGACTTCGATGTTTTACTTTCTATCCTTGCCTCCCTTAACTTCTCGTCTTCTGTGATTGATTGGTTTAAATCATATCTTTATGATCGCCAGCAGAGAATCTACTGCGACGAGACTATCTCAGAGTGGTCCAATCTCTTCGCAGGCGTCCCCCAGGGTGGTGTGTTATCGCCATTGCTTTTTTCAATTTTTATTAACCAACTCCCACAGGTACTCTCTTCTAACTACCACCTATATGCGGATGATCTGCAACTTTATAGACATGCTTTGGTCGGGGACTTAGCGTCTGAAATAGACAGGATAAACCTCGATTTGGCAAGAATCAAAGATTGGGCAAAGTCCTTCGGACTCCTTGCCAATCCAATAAAGTCTCAGGCCATGATCATTGGTAGTAAGCAGTTGCGGAACAAAATCGACTTCAACAATCTGCCTGACATCATCTACGATAACACTTGCATCAATATCTCAGACACGTGTAAAAACTTAGGTTTAACAATCGACTGCAACCTGTCCTGGGCTGCGCATGTCAACGAGGTCAGTAAGCGCGTACATTATTCACTTCATTCCTTGAGACGTTTACAGAATTTTCTTCCGTTTCAAACTAAAATTACCCTAGCTCAATCACTGCTAATCCCTCTACTCGAATATGCCGACGTCTGCTATCTTGATGCAACCGAGGAGCTACTCGACAAGCTAGATCGCCTTCAGAATTTGTGCATCCGTTTTATATTTGGATTGCACAAATTTGATCATATAAGTATTTTCCGACGGCAACTGAAGTGGCTCCCCATTCGTTTTCGCCGAAACGTTCGTGTATTATGTGTGCTTTACAATATTTTGAAGACTTCTACACCTTCTTATTTAAGTGAACGCTTCACATTAGTGTCCCCTAGATGCAGACCAGTGCGTTCTTGTGTCAATTTGCCCAAACTAGTGGTTCCTCACTACAATACTACATTCTATAAAAAATCTTTTTCTGTTACGGCAGCAAGTTTGTGGAATTCACTGCCTGATTATATTTTCAAAGATGATCCCTCATTCTCAACATTTAAGTTTAGAATTAAACAATACTATTTATCAAATCAGACATAAATTATTGTAGATTAGTATGTATTTATATGTAAGTATATATGTTTGTTTGTATGTATGTATGTATATATGTATGTATTTATATATGTATGTGAATATATATATATATATTTGTATAATCATAATATTTAGTTAATATATGTATTTTAATAATAAGACAATTCCATTCAATGCTGTACTGTACCTACACCGCACTATATTAACTTATTTTCTCACTTCTGAAGGGTTTCTGGAAGAAATCTCTTAAAGAGATAAGTTATCCTTTGTCAACATTTTGTTATTTTATTTTGTATAACGTATATTTTATGGTACATAAATAAATAAATAAATAAAAATAAAAAATAAAATTATTAATTTTTTACAATTTCACATTTAAAAATGTTTACACTATGACACTCATCTGTCTGACAGCGCCTCAATTCAAATTTAATAAAAAGAATTTAGAATAGTTACATATCTTTGTATTTCAGAGCAACACATAAGTTTAATTTTTGCCGGTTCTTAAAAATCCCCACTTATAGTCTTATAAAACAACATTAAAAGTTATTGCCAGGTTTTGTCGAATCCTTTTTACAAATAAAATTATTAATTTTTTACAATTTCACATTTAAAAATGTTTACACTATGACACTCATCTGTCTGACAGCGCCTCAATTCAAATTTAATAAAAAGAATTTAGAATAGTTACATATCTTTGTATTTCAGAGCAACACATAAGTTTAATTTTTGCCGGTTCTTAAAAATCCCCACTTATAGTCTTATAAAACAACATTAAAAGTTATTGCCAGGTTTTGTCGAATCCTTTTTACAAATAAAATTATTAATTTTTTACAATTTCACATTTAAAAATGTTTACACTATGACACTCATCTGTCTGACAGCGCCTCAATTCAAATTTAATAAAAAGAATTTAGAATAGTTACATATCTTTGTATTTCAGAGCAACACATAAGTTTAATTTTTGCCGGTTCTTAAAAATCCCCACTTATAGTCTTATAAAACAACATTAAAAGTTATTGCCAGGTTTTGTCGAATCCTTTTTACAAATAAAATTATTAATTTTTTACAATTTCACATTTAAAAATGTTTACACTATGACACTCATCTGTCTGACAGCGCCTCAATTCAAATTTAATAAAAAGAATTTAGAATAGTTACATATCTTTGTATTTCAGAGCAACACATAAGTTTAATTTTTGCCGGTTCTTAAAAATCCCCACTTATAGTCTTATAAAACAACATTAAAAGTTATTGCCAGGTTTTGTCGAATCCTTTTTACAAATAAAATTATTAATTTTTTACAATTTCACATTTAAAAATGTTTACACTATGACACTCATCTGTCTGACAGCGCCTCAATTCAAATTTAATAAAAAGAATTTAGAATAGTAACATATTAAAGAGATCTTATTTCTTTACATATATAGTTAAAATACTTTCTTAGATTTACGCAAATATTTGACAATTTTAAATAAAACTATCTTTTTGAATTTTTTCGCGGATTTATTTGGATTTTTGGTTCCGTTTGGGTACGTTTGGGTGGTTGGTTTAGGGAACCAAAAATTATATAGATATATAATATATTTGTTTGTTTACAGTGGAATACGTGGACACAGAGTACAGCTTGTGGTTAACATGGGTCCTCACACCAGTGATCGTCACGTTCCTGTTACCTGCAGTCATCATAGTACTGATATACGTCAGCAGTATCATCTTTCATCTATACAGGCTGTACAGGTAAATAAACATAAAACATTTTTTTTTAAAGTTTTGTATAAAATAGAGTTTCAATGGTCACTATCTGTCTCCATTAGACCCTATACATTACATGGTCTATATTTCTTGCGCGTTAAGTTCAGTAGTTTTTATGCTACCTTCTATTAGAAGACCAATTTCATGGTTTATATTACTGTATTGTATGCTTTTTTGTGGGTACTTATAGAAAAAACACAACTTTTAAAAATTTTGTTTATTTGTCTGTTTGTTTCGGCTAATCGCTGAAACCGCTGAACTGATTTTGAAGGGACTTTCACTAGTAGATAGTTGATGTTATAAGGAGTAACATAGGATACATTTATTTTAGAGAAATAATCAGGGTTCCGCGCAACAAAATTAAAACTTACATAGGCACGCACCCGAGCGACGCGAAGGTAAGTCGCTAGTTGAAATGAAATAAAAGCGTGTTTGCTATCGATGTTTGGCATCGATATATATTATAATACAGCTTTATATTAAGTTGAGTAGACGAGTAGTCTTTTATTAATACCCACGGGGCTGTTGCACATCTATAAAGTGTTTACCACAAAAACATTTGATTAGATATTAAAGTCAACAAAATGCTTTCGATAAGTTCATATCGGAAACTGTGGTGATTATCTAAAAAAAATAACGTTGGAATTGCTACAATTGCTGTTCAAAGTACAGAAGCTCGATATTAGAGTACATCGTTTGTTACAAAGCCAAAACAACGCTTTAGAGAGGAATGGATCATATAAATGAATAAAATTTTATTACTGTTCTCGCCTAGATTCGATTGGATCCGTTATTTTCCACGTACATACATACAAGATATTGTTATTATTTGATGATAATGATTATAATTAAAGTGCTTTCTTCACTCATAGTTCATTGTTAACCGACTTCCAAAAAGGAGGAGGTTCTCAATTCGTCGGAATCTTTTTTTTATGTATGTTCACAGCCGACAATATTTTAAGATACGAATACCTAATAATACGTAAATAATAAATATGTATTTTACGTATCGAAATATTTGCTTTGCATCGGCTGCCACCGGCTTCGAAAATATCTGATTAGGTATCTATTCTAAATGAAAACCTCCGCTTAGTTAGTCTTCTCCCACCTCTAACTCTAACCTCCGGTTAGAAGTCGGCTTTTTTTTTAAGTTTTTTTTTTCACATTTGTAAAGTTTCCTTTTTAAATAAATGAGCTTTATTAATAAAGTAATACCTTTGACTAATATGTTTAAAGAGTTTGTTTGTGCAACCTTGTCATATATTTCTGTAAGAATGGTTAAAAAAAAGTTAAAAAAAAACACTTTCTCGGGCTTTTGGTAAGTAGGCCAGAGATGTCAGCATCGCCTTGTAGAGTCTTGAATTCCACATAATATTCATTATATTTATTTTCACACAGTAACTTGCTATTGAAAATACTAGACTCAATATTAAATCCAATTCTTGTTATTTTTTTTATTTGGTCAAATGTAACTGTCCGTTTTTAAATCAAATACACCGTTTTGACAGAACGGAGGTATTCATCTAATTTCTTGGATACAACAAGGTTCTATATTATTAGAACAACTCTACTAAAACTTATTGGGATACATGCTGTAAGTAATACAGCGGTAGTGGGTTCTAGTCCTACTTAGACAAATATTTATATTCGATCAGTCATTAAGTACAGTAAAAGCTCCTTATTCGCGGTCTCAGTATTCGCAGAAAATAAAATTGAGACTACTTCCTGTATTTGCGGCCGAAAATTTCGAATAAATGTAAAAATATTATACATTTTTTGTTTTGAGCATATTATCGTCTCACGGCTTTGCCCATGTAATTTATTTAGGTATGTATAACAGGGACCCATTTGGTTACCATTTAAAGGGTTTTAACCTGGGTTTTTTAAAGGTTTTTAACAAGAAACCCTTTTCATAGGGTTACCCAGTCAACAGGCTTAATTAAATCATATGTTTAATAGGGTTAACCCTATCTGTTGGGTTAGGTATTAGGTTACCCAATAAATAATGGGTTACTTCATATATAACGTGTTATCTAACAAATATAATGGTACAATTTTAGTCTCTAAAATTATTAAGAAACATTACATATTAGAGTGTAGTATAGAAAACATAAAAAGGCGGCAAACGAACACCTACGAGTATTAACGTGTACGGACATGTTTCTTTCGTTGTTTAGGTGTCTAGGCCTGAAGAAATGCAATTTTATTTTATTCGACAACACGTGAGTGATATGAAAAGTGCTCTTAGTCTTGTTATTTTAAAATACCTCCAATTAAAACCGACACCGTTTGAATGTTTGATATGTGGGAATAATTTAAAGGTAAGTTACATAATTATCATATTTAAAATATAATAATTATTTATGAATCATTTACTATCTTCCAAAAGTTATTACTACTAACGTTGCACTTATTCATATGAGCGTTTTAATGAAAGAAATCCATATATTTCACTTATTTATATTAAGAATGTGTTTTTAAAAGTAAAAATGGAGCGAATTTTGATATTTTTTCCTACTTATGAATTATTTGTAATATTGTAACACATATGACACACATGACACACATGACACACATGACACACACACACACACACACACGACACACACACACGACACACACACACACACACATGACACACACACATGAGACACACACGAATGACACACACACACACACACGACACACACACATGAGACACACACACATGACACACACACACACACATGACACACATGACACTCATGACACACGCGCGCACACACACTGACAAACATGACACACATGACACACACACGACACACATGACACACACACATGACACACGCACACGACACACACACGACACACACACACACACACACACACACACACACACATGACACACACACATGACAAACATGACACAGATGACACACACACATGACATACATGACACTCATGACACACATGACACACACACACGACACACACACACGACACACACATGACACACACACATGACACACACACACATGACAAACATGACACACATGACACACACACATGACACACATGACACACATGTTACACATGTTACACATGTTACACATGACACACATGGCACACATGACACACATGACACTCTTGACACACATGACACTCATGACACACATGACACACGCACACACACACACACTCTCACGACACACACACATGACACACACGACACACAAACACACATGACACACACATGCACACACAACATACACACACACATGACAAACATGATACACATGACACACATGATACACACGCACACATGACACACACACACACACACACACACACACACACACACACACACACACACACACACACACACACATGACAAACATGACACACATGTCACACACACACACACACACACATGACACACACACACATGACACACACACACACACATGACACACACACACGCACACACATGACACACACACACACACACACACACACATGACAATCATGACACACATGGCACACATGACACACACACACATGACACACACACACACACACACACACAACACACATGACACACACGACACACACACACACACACACACACATGACACACGCACACACACACACGACACACATGACACACACGACACACACACACACACACAGAACACACACACGACACACACACACACATTACACACACGACACACACACACACACATGACACACACATGCACACACATAACACACACACACATGACAAACATGACTTACATGACACACAACACACATGAAACAACTGATATACACGCACACATGACACACACACACGACACACACACACACACATGACAAACATGACACACACACACACACACACACACACACATGACACCTACACACATGACAAACATGACACACATGTCACACACACATGACACACATGTCACACATGACACACATGACACACATGTCACACATGAACCACATGACACACACGACACACACACACACACACATGACACACACAAACACACACATAACACACACACACATGACAAACATGACTTACATGACACACACACACACACATGAAACACATGATATACACGCACTCATGACACACACACATGACACACATGTCACACATGACACACATGACACACATGATACACACGCACACATGACACACACACACACACCCACGACACACACACACACACACACACACATGACACACACACAAGACAAACATGACACACATGTCACACACACACACACATGACAAACATGATACATATGACACACATGACACATATGATACACACGCACACATAACACACACACACGACACACACACACACATGACACACACACATGACAAACATGACACACATGTCACACACACACATGACACACACACACACATGACAAACATGACACACATGTCACACACACATGACACACATGTCTAACATGACACACACGACACACATGTCACACATGACCCACCTGACACACATGGCACACATGTCACACACACACACACGTGATACTCATGACACACACGACACACACACACACATGTCACACACACACACACATGTCACACACACACACATGACACACACACACATGACACACACACACATGACACACACACACATACACATGACACACACACACACAAACACACACACACACACACGCACACACATGACACACACACACACATGACACACACACACACATGACACACACACACACACATGACACACACACACACATGACACACACACACATGACACACACACACACACACACACACATGACACACACACACACACACACACACACACATGACACACACACACACACATGACAAACATGACACACATGTCACACACACATGACACACATTACACATGTCACACATGACACACATGACACACATGTCACACATGACCCACATGACACACATGGCACACATGTCACACACACACACATGACAAACATGATACACATGACACACATGATACACACGCACACATGACACACACACACGCACACACATGACACACACACACACACACACATGACACACACACATGACACACACACATGACAATCATGACACACATGATACACACGCAGACATGACACACACACACATGACACACACACACACGACACACACACATGACAAACATGACACACATAACACACATGACACACATGACCCACATGACACACATGGCACATATGTCACACACACACACACACACATGACACTCATGACACACACGACACACACACACATGTCACACACACACACACATGACACACACACACACACATTTTTTTTTTTTTTAATCTATTTTTATTTAGGGACTTCTTAGCAACAAAGCTAAATGTCAGTCCCATCGTTCCCTTAAGACATGTATACCACTAATAATACTAGTACCTCTAATTATAACTTATTTAAACTTAAATTGATATACAGTTTTGGCTATCTCTGAGTTAGGTTTAGACAGTGCGTTTTGAAAAACTCCCACATCATTCCAGCAAACGTTAAAACGGCGCATCAACTCCTGTCTCCTATCCGCGTTACGAACACATTCCACTAAGAAATGATGTACATCTTCCTCTACACCGCATAAATCACAATTTGGAGAATTAGATTTTTTCATTAGAAACATAAATCTGTTAAGTGGAACGTGTCCCGAACGCAGCCTAAGAGCCATAACAATTTGTTGACGCGTCAACCCTGAGTCGCAGAACCACGGGATACGAGGAGGCTCACTTTGTATAGTCTTATACCATATTCCCTTAAGTTTTGATCTTTCGACACACACACATGACACACACAAACATGACACACACACACACATGACACACTCATACGTGACTAGAAAAATAGAAATTTCTTTAAAAACTTGTTATAATAAAAAATAAAGTCTTATGTAAATATTTATGTCTTTTTATTTTAAGAAATATGTAGAATAATAATTTAATTTAAAATAATTTATTCATAACATTTATGAATTATTTTCTATAATTTTAATTATTTGGTACATAACGTAACGCCTCTTCAGAACCGGTACATTAGCCAATTCCAGCCCAACGAATATTCCAAAAGCATTATTTGCAAATTCCAATTTTTTAGTGTTTTCTTTGGCATACGTTTGGGTACTGCTTTCAATAAATTCAATTGTTTTTAATGTATCACGGGCTTCGTAATCCTTGTATTGGTCTAAATTTTGAAAGTTTGGCTCAAATATATTATACGAGTCTTCATCAACTCGGTATTCTGTAATATATAAAAACACAAATTTGTAATTAGTAAGAACCTAGACTTTAAAAAAATAGTTTATATAATATATGTACATTACAAGTATTTAAAAACATACTTGAGAAAGAGGCTGCTGCTATTACCCTTTGAAAACCCAAAAAATCAAGAGAAAAACAAAGATTTTAACAAGTATATGTAAACAGATTAATTACCGCCTTCATTGAGTCGTTTTTCTGAAGAGGGGCTATCACATTGGGTTTCATCGTTATTTGGCTCCGTTTCTGGTACTATTTCAGCTTTTTATAAAATTAATTAAAAATAAAAGTAAATGTAAAATAGTTATCTATATATAAAACGTTACTAAAATCAATTTTTAAATAAAATATACAATCATAAAAAGAAAAATAAATACTTACGTTTGTGACGGTTCATTATATATTTTAATAAGTAAACGTGCACAGGTAGGAGTATGAAACTTTAAATTAACATTGTTTTGCAGTGCTACACGAATTTAGAAACAAATAGGTATATTCCCCCACCCTTTCTTCATCACCAGTTAAAAAGTAAGTTTCGGGATAATCACGTAAAACGATGTGGTAACCCATTCGATAGGGTTAATTCTATAGTAGGGCTATCATTACAAATGATTAACACATTTCATTTGCTTAAAGGTAGGTTACACATTTAATGGGTAACAAGGTTTTTCTACGTTCATTTTGAATGGGTAACCGTTTTTTTTGGCTTAACTTTAAACCCGGGTTTTACGGTCCCTGATGTATAAATGCCCTGCTTCTAAGGATTATAGAGTGATTTTAGATGGTCTGTCAATTTCCTCAATAAATAGACAAGAAAATGCAAAAATAATATTTCAAATCTGACTGCAATTCCAGAGATAAACAAATAAAAAAGCGATATGTAGACGACACGTTTGGCTCAGTTTGTAGTGACCCTACTTGGTGTGCCAGCGGTCGTGGATTCGAGTCCTGTTGGGGGCATTTGTTAGTGTGATGAGCACGAATGTTTGTACTCCAGTCATGGGTGTTTATATTTATAATATGTATGTATTTAAAGTTATATATGTGTAGTGTATCAACTATCTGGTACCCATAACACAGGCCCACCATGAAGCTAGATGGTGCTGTGTGTTAATGTCCCAATATATTTATCTTAAGATTCAGAGTTCATTTTAAGGAAGCCGACGATTTGGTTTTATAATATGTAAACAAAAACAAAACACGAACTTTGATCATGTGGAAGAAGCATGAAGTTTTATGAAGTAATGAGCGGAATTATTTTAAGCGTTTCTATTTATGTCGGTAATTAAAAAAAAATGATAAATTAATTGATCACAGACCAAACCCGTCTGGGACAAGTGATAATATTATTTTTCAGTCATAACAATTTGTTGGGGCAATAACTTTATTTAGAATAATTACCTATGCGTGATTTACACGTTTTTTAAAAGGTCCTTTATGAAAAATATGTATGTATGTAGGTATGTATGTATATGTTGTTTGAGTCATTGAGTTATCAAACATACTATTTGTGCCAATTAATGTTAATTTTAGTATGATTTTTAACCCCCGACGCAAAAAGATGGGCGATATAAGTTTGACGTCAATGTCTGTCTGTCCGTGTGCGTCTGTCTGTGGCATCGTATCTCTCAAGCGGATAGACCGATTTCGATGGGGTGTTTTTCATTTGAAACCCAGTTTCCTTGCGGTGGTTCTTAGCTATGTTTGGTTAATATCGGTCCAGCAGTGTAAGAGTATCAGCTCTTTTCCAAAATGATGTAAGGCATTTTGGCGTATGATTACTCGATTAAGTGCTTCACGCGTGCCAGTCTAATCGTTAAATGACAATTAAATTGTGTAGGGGTTTTTTTTAATTTTTAATTTATAATATTAACAGATATCAGAGGAAGATGTTTTGTATACTTTCAATTCGTATGGCATAATCGGGGGGCACGGAGTGCCCCCGCCAAGTCGAGCAAGAAATATACATGTTTACACATAAGTGTACCGCAAAACGAGTGTCTCTAGAATATTTTTTCTTACGCAAATCTCATTAAAAATGGGATTTTATTCGAGAGACGATTAGAAACTGAAAAATTTAATGGATAATTTGCAATGTTCATTTATGACATTAGTACTATAAATGCAGAAAGTGATGGATGAGTTTTTCGCACCGTAACGGTTTAACGGATTTGAGTGAAACTCTAAATGAAGATAGCTTAAATCAAGGCAGAACTGCCTTCCAAGCCGGTGGTAGATTCTCCTCTAACTGGCTACACTGACATATTTTAATTTAAAATGTAAAATTCACAAATTGCTTTTAAAAGTCTATTTGAATAAAGTATATTTAGATTCAATTTAAATCTTGGAATAACACATTGGTTACTTTTTATCAATATTTTCAGCGCGGGCAAAACTAGTCGGTCTATAAAACTATTAAATGCGAAAGTTTGTATGATCGTGTATGTTTGTTACTTAACAAAATTTAAGGTTGCTGAAACAGTAGTAAGGGGTTGGAAGTTTAGTTCGTCGGATCCAATAGACTGTTAGGTATCTAGGGGCCTCAGCTAGTTAAAAATAAATATATGTATATCTAATAAGTTATTTTATTTTAGACTGCGTGTAGTGTCAGGCGTGCAAAGCGACTGGAAGCACGCGGCTCGCCTCGCAGTTTGCGCGTTGTGGGACGCCCACGGGTGGCTGTGGCATGGTACGTTACCAGAATCTTTATCTAGTATAAAATAATTCTATAAATTAAGTTTTCTAAGGTTCTTTTTTCCTTGACGACTTGCACTTACTTCTTTTTGAAGTTGCCATAAACTTTTATAAGTTAGATAAATTGCTTCTCGCATATTGTTTGAAATTTTTTTGTGTTAAAACCCCTTTCTAGATATGTAATTTAAAAATTTCAAATTGATCTTATTTTTCAGGCTACGATATCAGAGGTATAGAGAACATACCAGAAGGTCCGTTTCTATTGATTTACTACCACGGTGCGCTACCTGTTGACATGTACTATTTCACCGCGCGCATGTCGCTCTTTAAACGAAGGCACATTCACACGGTGGCTGATCGCTTCATGTTTAAAATACCTGGTAAGTTTGTTTTGTAAGTCCTGAACGATTTCGGCAACATAGATCATGGTCGGACACATCCTTTCACATTCAAAGTCCGGTGGAACGTCAATTCGATTTTTGTCTAAGACTGGAGACTCCAAAGCACGAGGGTAAAATAACGCCAAATACCCAACTCCGACGTTTGGCTGAGAATTTCTTGAAAAAAAGAAACCAACAACTGTATATATGAACTTAGTTCAGCCCGGGACTCGAACTCGAACCCAGAATCTCCGGATCTGTAGCTGTACATGCTAGCCACTAGAGCAACGAAATTTTAATAAATATGAGAAATTTTATTGCTTTATTGAAGAGATTTGAAACGTACCGGATTTGGACAAGACGGTATTGAGCGTAATTATCGTATAGCGTATATAGTCGTCGCTATCTTGTTAATTTCTGCCTTTATCCAGTTGTAAGATTTTATTTCAATGCTCTGTACACATTAAAAAAAATATTATAGGTACATATGTATATGCACTGTGAAAATGATAACAGCTGATTTTGTCGCCATTTGCACGAGATCCACATCGACCCGCTAATAAAAAAGTAACAAGTCTATTGAAGTGACATAAATACAAAAGCGTTATGTATCGCTAAAATATGTCGTTATTTTAGCGATATCGAATGTAGAATTCATTTTACCAGTCTACATTTAGTTTTTGGGCTTACTATGCTCGATTATTATATATTGGTCGAATAGTATATTTTCTGATTGGTAGTGTTTTTTATATTAAACATTTTATTTCAGGTTGGGCATCCCTTCTAGAGGGTTTGTGCGTGATACCCGGAACAGTGCAAACGTGTGTGGGAGTCCTTCGGTCGGGGAACTCCCTGGCTATATCTCCCGGGGGTGTGTATGAAGCACAGTTTGGGGACCATTATTACGGGTTGAACTGGAAGGCCAGGAAAGGATTCGCTAAGGTTGCCATTGAAGCTAAAGTGGTAAGTTGTATGAATCATATAATATCGATCAAAATAAACAATATAATTTAAAATTATAAAAAAATTACATTTTTAATCAATCAGGTCTCTTTGCGAGCATAAAATATGATGGGAAATAGATAAAAATTAAACTTTCTATCTACAGCCAATAGTCCCAATGTTCACTCAGAACGTTCGAGAAGCTTTCCGAACAGTGGGCTGGCTTCGTGGTATCTGCCTCCGCATATACGCGGCCACTCGCATCCCGCTCGCGCCCGTGTACGGGGGCTTCCCCGTCAAGCTGGTCACGCACCTCGGCCCCGCCATACCGTATGATGAGTCGCTCACTCCAGACCAGTTGCAGCAGAAGGTGAGGATATACATACACACAAACACACACACGTATTTACATACATATTTGTTACTAGGGACTCACCCTCGCTTCGCCCGGGTTCGTCTATAGGTTGATTCTCAATACAAACTTTCGTCCCCATTTTCACGGCCTTAAAGGATGATGTCATTCCCAGGCTCTCAAACTATCTTCTTACCAAATTTCATCTAAATCGGTTCAGTAGATCCAGATATTATCCCCTACAACCTCACAAACTTTACGTTCTTATAATATTAGTATAGATTTAGGCTCTTAGGGTAAACGAAAGCTTCTCCTTTTAGTTGGTCACTCACTTCGGCCCATATATACCCATACACACGTACATACATTCATACAAACTTACATTGACACAAATATACATACATATTTGTTAGCTACGCTCTTAGACTCATAGAGGGTTTCCATTACAAGGAAGCCTAAACTTTCACTGAATACTAAGATGCCGAAGTTGAAGACAATATATACGTTTTCTAGTTAGATGCTTAAATTTGTAAATAAAAAATTCAAACATTTAGATTATAACCGACAATATGTCTTCGAAAAAGTTTTTATGATGACGACCATTTTACTGAGTTTAGCCATTTTATATATAATATAGTCAGAACTGCTTTATTGAATTAGAATAGTAGTAATATTACGCTACTAACGACTAAATATTTAATATTAAAAGAAATGATATATCCTAAAGCAGGAGTTCCCAAACAATGGGACGCGCCTCCCTAGGGGGCGCAGAGAGAGTTTATTTGGTGTAAATTAAAATTAAAATAAATAAAAATAGTTAAAATAATGTGTGTTTTATTATAAAAAAAGGGGGGGCATGAAAATATTTTTTATAAGCCGATGGACTCAACAGAAGAAAGGTTTGGGAAGCCCTGTTCTAAAGTATAAATATTTTTCAGGTTGCGTCGGCTATAGAAAATCTGGTAGAGGAACATCAAAGAGTGCCCGGCAGTATTCTCCTTGCTCTGTTAGAAAGAGTCTACGAAATGCCCAAGAAAAAAAGCAAAAAGTCCCACACTAATGGCACCTGTCAAAACGGTGTTGCCATTAAAAAGCAAGATGGCGACTTAAGTAATAAATGTGACAGTGACAAAAAGGTTTCCTAATGTGGACATGACAGATTGTGGAATAAATTCTTATTGTGAGATGTGGAAATCAAACGGTGTTTAGTGCCTTAGCACTGGCAACACCGACGAGTGAATGACAGTTGATGTACAAATACGGCATTTTGATTGTTTTAATTTTTAACCTATTTTATTGTAATGTCAAGGGAGTTTGGTTTTGCTTTTAATATTTATTTCTTGATTTGACAAATTTTGATGGAAAGTATATATGGCGGATATCTGTCTTATTTATGATCTTATTACTTATAGTCTAGTCAACAAGTTGAAAAAAGTGCTTATCCTTGCTACTGCGAAATAAAATACGTGCGATACCTCGTTGGATTCGTTAGGACTTTAAAAATTATATATTAACATTAAAAGATTTAAAAAAATGGGTCTAGTTTTTTCCAAATTACTCAAAAACTCTTGGTGCTAGTGGAAAAAGAGGAAATTGTAAATTAAATGAAGTATTTTTGCATGCGCAGCATGCATTATTTTTAATCGTTATTATCTATTAATTATGAATTATTTAAGTAACAAAAAAATTTATTAATAAATACAAAAAAGGGGTTGACATTTTTTTTAATAACTTAACAAGAATTAACACGTTTTTCAAACTTGTTGACTAGAGTATTACATAATTAAATGTCTTTATTTAGCAAGGATTTATTTTACATTCTGTAGTGTACTGTACGTGTCTTACATAGACACGTAGAGTTCATATATAATCTCTTTATTTTTATCGTATTATACTGATTTTTGTGTGTTTCTTCGAATGCATAACTTGCTTTATAATAAAGATTCAATATGATAAAATTGAGTTATAATAGCAATATAGTGTGATATTTTATATAAATAATAGAAGAAAGGAACAAAATACAAATAGGTTCCTCATGCCAAAATGTCTTAATATTGTTATTGTTTAAAAAATGTACTCATTACTCCAAAAGTATATATTGAAATTGAGCTAATTAAAATATTTTTCTGTAAATTAAATTCTTCGAACACTTCAATATGCAAATATTACGCTTAGTGCTTAAAAACTTAATTAAAATATAAATGCAATTTGTATCATTCAAAAAAAATATTATTATAGTTTTATTTGTTATAGCAACATTATGATGCCATTAAAAATGTTAAAAACGTTTTTTTAGATTTAAGATTTACCATTCCCAAAAATTGAATGCGTTTCATGAATTTATCATTTTGTGTAATATATACATTATACATATCTTATTATATAGTTAAATGTATAATGTTCGAAACTCAAAATGTTTTTTTTAAATATGCTTCAAGTGTAACGTAGACATGTATCTAAAAAGGTTTTAGTTTTTTTTAGATAACGTTTATTTTAATCGTCTATATTTAATTTAGTAGTTAGTATGTGATGTAATTAATTATTATTTATGTTATCTCTTTATTTTCAACAATAATAAGCAATCTACACAAGGTGAGATCATATTTTATATCGACATAGTTTTTATATAATGTATACTGTAGATATATTATTAACAATTAATATAAGATAATAAATAGCTTTTAGTAATAAAATGACCAAATGGTTATCAAAATCAATGTCATAATTAAAATTTTATTGTTTTGCTATGCTATTAGTGTCAAAGTGACACTTCAGTGTTGCCAGATTAACCGCATTTATTATTAGAAATAAGTATCAAAATTAATACATTTGGATGGAAATTGACACTGCCGTTTAAGAAAGCTGGTAAAGCCATATAAATTTTCTTCTATTAAAACATATATAAAAAATAAACCAGTAAAATTATTATTATATTAGAACACACTAATATGACATAATAATATAGTGTTTGTAATGAATAAATAAAATGATTTTTTTATTAATAGAAATCGAGTGTATATTAATTATTGTATTATTTTGTCTTTTTGATTCAATATAATATTTATTAAAAGAACAATATATAATTTTTGTCTTTATTTTTTAAGCAAATCAGGTTTTCTACATACATGAGACTAAATGAGATTTTACATTCTCGCTCATAATTCAATATTAAATAATTGATCGTGAATCGATTAAAAATTGTTTTTTTTTTTCGAAGAATTGTTTTTTTTTTTTAAAGTACTTATGATTAATAGAAGGAATCATGGCTTCAAATAATTGCAAATGAAACGAAGATAAATTAACTTATTTTAATATTTTCATAATAATATAATATAGAAATAAAAATGTATAATGCCTTGTACGTTATCTTCTTTCACAGTCAAATTATTTTAGGAGAAGATATTTGACTGTTAGTACTTATAATATTTTATATATATAATATTTTCCAAAACATTCTATTATATTAATGTTTAAATGTTTTTTTTTTTAATTTTCGCTCTTTTATTTTATTATTAACTAATTATTATGGTAATAATTAATTAATAAATAAGTTATGTAATAAATCAAATTATATATATTCAGTTGTTTGAGCGTAAGACACTTTTTGATTTCGAATTTTAAATTAATACTCGAATTTAATATTTTTAATGTTTTAAGACGGTTTAAGCAATGGATGACATCTAAATTTGTGAAAATTGTGTTTACAACTAAAAATAGGTTATATTGAAACTTTATAGTATAATTGTGCGGTTTTGGAAAATGTTAAAACGGTGATAATTGATAGTAGGTATATGGATTTTATATTTGCTGTATTATATATATTAAAGTTACTATAATGTTTGGTTTTTCTGATATTGTATGACAAAATTACTGAAAATTAAAAAAAAAATTGTTAACTTTGGGCATTTAGCATTATTACTGAACGTGGGTTGAAAAACGTGTTGTTGGGGGGATATTTCTAGACATCATAAATATCAGTGTCGTTGCTTTTTAATTCATTAGAATGTTGATGTTGCCATAATTTGATGTGTAAATTGGTGTGTCAAAATATATGTATATATGTATGTATATTTTGTGTACTGTTTTGATACAAACTAGTAACTAGAATACTGTTAGAGGTGGCGATTGTATTATCTATATGATTGATGTTAAAATTGTAAGGAAATATATTATTTTTTCAAAGTATTTAATGTTTTTTTTTACCTTTAAATCTTGCGTGTGATTATTTAAATTTTGGAAAAGTTTAATCAAGGCTAATTCTGTAATATAATGTGATTTTCTATTTCACTCCAAGCTTCTATAATATGGTACTTAGAAAAACAACGTTGTATGTCCAATTTAAATAAAAAGAACGATCTAACGATGCATTATAACATATTAGCCATTTTCTAAAACTTGAATAAAACGTTTCTTAGTATTGAAGTCGCTCACTCATTGTCAGTTTAGTTCGTTGCCCACTCAATATTTTGTTTTCTAGTAAATCTTACTAAGGATTCATTATGCATTACATTTTTTAACATTTTCCGTTAAATTTATCTTTTATTAATCAACACTAGCACTAACCCTGTTTTTTTTTGTTTTTAATTTTCTTTGAGCGGAACCCTTATTCTTTTTATAAAATAAATGTAGTCAAGTTATCACTACTATTAGATACAATACCAGCTATCTGCCAATGAAAATCCCATCAAAATCAGTCCGGCCGTTTCGGAGATTAGCCAGTAGACAAACAAAAATCTTAAAAATTGTGTTTTTCTTTTAATTCTGTATGTAATTCCATAATATGTATACATTATATAGTAAAAAGCTATTATTTTAACATTACAAACAGACACTTCAATTTTATTTATCTGTATAGATGTATAGACTAGAGTTAGACAATTATATTTAAAAACTTCCCAAAACTAATAAAATTTTGGTCAAGTTTATCTTATTACTATTAAAAATGCCAAAGTTTAATCCGTTTAAATATTATCTATTTTATGTCTTATGGCTACATGGGTCATGCATAGTCAAAAATTAAAAAAAAACAAGTAATGGTCTTTACAAAATTTATTTTTCTATAGAAAATCGTAGTTGGACACGTCCTCGAATTGCTGCGTTTGGGCGCCGGCGCGCGTCGCGCCCGCGCGGTACTGCGGTTGCTACACGCAACACACATACGTTATAAAATTACACATATTATATGTAAAAATAAAAAGCTATGGCGTGATTTCATTGACCGCTGTTAAAAATAAGTACTTAATTCAAGTGCATATATTGTTTCAATATCAATCAATTTTAAACAGATTTTAATGACATTTTTTTTAAATACATTTTAAAGATTTCAATTTTTTTAATAAGAAGTAATTAAGGACGCATAAATTTGTATAACAAGTAAATAAACAAATACTATCAGAAGCTCTTTAACTTTGATGATAAATTATGAGCAATACTTAGGTTGTTTTTTTGTAATATTGCAATCCGTGTCAATGAAATCGCGCAACGTGCGAAGTTAATTTATTTACAATCGACTATCAAAATAGCTTAGTGATGTACGTTCTGAATGTCCTTGAACTTTACCTAGAAGGTTGTAGGTTCGATAACCATACGTTGCGAACAAATTTAACAGTCTGGCTAAGTAAAATACGGTGTTTTGGAATAATATATTTTTATCGTTAATCGTATTATGATTTTATTTAGCTACTAAGTGATAGATGGTATGTAATTTACAATATAATAAGTGATGTAGGATGAATTTTTCATGCGTGAGCTAAAAGCTCGACTCTGTATCGAGAGATTAGACACGAGCTTTTTTAGTGATGTTCTATGACTTTGCAACCAAAGATATTTAGTAAGTCAAGCTGGAAGAGAGCTTCAAGCAGTTTGATTGGTTATAATAATAATAAAATTAGTACGAAAAGCAAGATCTATACAATTTGTTACATATTATAATAATTATACATACTTAATGACATGATAAAAAATATTAACAGATGTTATGGTGATGTTAGATGTTGCTCCTCACAAGCTTTACTTATCACTGTCGCGGCCACCTCGGGGTGTATAGTTGTTTACACCTAAAAGTTCTGTTTGTCAATGTGACTATATACAATGTGTCCAGACGTTATTGTTCATGGCTAAGGAAGTTTTTAGCAAATATTGTAGGACAAGGTCACTCCCGAGGCGCCGCGAGTGTGTGAGGGAGTTAGTGTGGAAGCTTTACTTAGCCTGCGCGTCACAAGTGCGGGCGGCCGCCGCGCGCCGCCTGCTGTTGCTAGAACACACGCGCGCACTGAGCATTGAGCATTGAGCACCCGCTGAGCGCTGAGCACTGAGCGCGAGCATAGCTGAGCGCAGAGCATGCTTCGTTACTGAGCAATGCTAGCGCCTACTAAGTGCAGGGATGACGGAGCGACTCGTGTTGTAGGGAGGGGACTGAATATAATTATTGATGGCCGAAATATTTAAGATAACTTTAAAAAAGTACGTTATACAGACTCAAGTGGGATTTTTGGTCTTATTGTTATGACAATAAAGGTTCTTTTACTGTTTATTTGTTTTTTTTTTAGGATTCATTGAGTAAAGGCCTTCGATATAGGTCTAGACAGTCCCCGCGTTACAACACGAGTATGCTCCTGTTATATACAAGTTAGTCACAATTCAGCAGACACTAGGGTCAGGTTTAAAGCATTAGGGCTTCATTACATGAAGAATGTAATTTAGATTATACATTTTGAAGTATATTAGAAAATTTAAAGTAATTTTTAAGTGCAAGCATGCATGTTTTACTGAGAGGTCTTTTAAAGGGTATTTTCACCCCTTTGTTTGTTAATTTAAAATAATAATAATTCGCAAATCAAAAATTAAGAGAGCTGAAAAGCAATAATAATGAGTGAATGGTATGAAACAAAGTAATTTATTTTTAGATGATCACTCTACTATGGGGACATTCATTAATTACGTAAGCTAATGTTTTTCTCATAATTTCGACCCCTCCCTCCCCTTTGGTGATATTTACAATAAGTATATATATATATATATATATATATATATATATATATATATATATATATATATTTATGCTAACTAAAAAGCACTAATTATATTTACATTGGTATAAACGTAAGGTTATTATTTGACATGTACTGGCTGTGAGCGACTACAAAGTTTGAAAATTATAACTGATTAGCAATAATTTGTTTTAAAACAAGTAGCAGAATATTCTTTGAGCGACCTAACATCTGTTAGTGTAACAACATAAAACCTTTATAATATCCATATAGTATTTTTATTTGGGTAATGTTTTATTTAAACTGAGGCAAATAAGGAGACGAAAACATTTTCTAAGCATAGCACAATTATATCTGTATATATTATGACAATTATATCTGTATAATTTACCAGTATGGTGTCGGTGTATTACGGAATATAGTTGTCGCTATCAATCAATAATATTTTTTCATATTGTCTTGTCTCTTTAATTTCATTATATTGTGATTAAACTGTCGTCACATCGTAATCTTCTATATGTACATCACTCAAACCCAATGTGGGTGTTTGGCATAACGTGTTTGTTGTATATTTGTGTGTGTTAGTGTTTGTGTGTCTGTTTGTGTTTATACGATACCTGCTGCAGCAGATGCCTGAGGCCGGGGTTGGCGGGCAGGTGCGGGCGCAGCAGGCGCGGCGCGGCGCCCCGCAGCTGCTGCTGCAACTGCTGCTGCTGCTGCTGCATCTGCAGCTGGTGCTTGCGCTGCTCCTCCAGCTGCTTGTAGTGCTGCTCCTGCTGCTGCGCTGCGTGCAGGTGCGACATGATGTCCATCTGCGACTTGAACTGCGCCTCCTGCTGGTGCGCCGCCTCCAGCGTCTGCTGCAGGTGCTGGATCTTCTCCAGGTTCTGCTGCCTCGCCGCCTCCAGCCCGTCGAGGGGCACGCCGCGCGCCTTGCCGCCCTGCACCTGCCCCACCTGCCCGCCCATGCCGCCGCCCATCATCATGCCCTGCGCGTGCTGCTGCGGCTGCTGGCCCGACATGGAGGGCGCCCCCATCGCCATGCCCGGCTGCATGCCGCCGCCTGCCGACACACGGTCGCGTCAGTGGCACGCGGGAGTGCGCGGGAGCGGGGGGAGCGGGAAGTGGGGAGCGGGAGGGAGCGGGGGAGTGGGGAGCGGACACGTACCGGCGAGCGAGGAGGGCGGCGCTCCGCCTCCCGGCGCCGGCAGCTGCTTGCTCATCTTCTGCTGCTGGATGACCTTGCGCAGGCGGTCCACGAAGGTGGCCTGGTTGTTGGGGATGAAGCCCAGGTAGGCCTTCTTGTCGGGCGTGTACAGCAAGATGAGCACCTTGATGTCGCACTGCGGCGGCGACGGCATCGGCGAGAAGTGCACGCAGCCGGCCTGCGACACACGCGCGACACCGTGAGACACTGCGCCAGTGCGAGACACTGCGCGACACTGCGACAGTGCGAGACACTGCGCGCGACAGAGCGAGACACTGCGCGACACTGCGCCGGGATACTCACGAAGCCGCCCACCATGACCTTGGTGAGCGCGTCCAGCGCCTCGTTCTGCTGCAGATGGAACAGCACCGACTTGCTGTCCTTCAGGTACTGCCCACCGATGTTGCTGATCAGCTGTTTAGGCATCAGCTGCATCAACAACTTGCTCGGCCAGGTGTCTACTTTGAGTTCAGGCTCAATATCTTTTGAGTTTGCCGAAACCTACAAAATAATAAAAACACTCATAATAAAACCGTACCATCAGAGATATTTTTATTTTATGAATTTATGAAATATAAACAGGTGGCTTTCAACCATTTTGATAGCATTCTTACTTAATTGGAATATTAACATAATTTGCTTATATACAATATATAAAAAGTCTCAATAACATACTTGACAGGGCAAATGTTTGATAACTTTCTGTTGGTCTCCAGGTGCTTTGCCCTTCTCCATCCACTCGAGAGCGCCACTCCATATGTACGTGCGTTGTAAAGGCGCTGATACTGAGCCCACGCCCCCCACATTGCCAACACCCTGAACCCCTTGGACCCCTTGTGGGGGGGCTACATTAACCCCTGCATTAGAGGGACCAGGCTGAATCATTTGCATTCTTTGCATGCTCGACTGCAAAAATTACCTTGATTAAGATTACCTGTGCTATAAAATAATTGTCGAAAAACATTGAAAATTAATATAACTGTAATTTTTATTTAAAAAAAGGTCAAGTGCGAGTCGAACCAACGTGAGGAAGGGTTTTATACATGATGGAAAACAAAAGAATTTTGAAGACTCTGGGCCTTTAGTTTTATTTTGCCTGTGAACTATAAGGTATAGAAAAATTCTGTCATAAATACATATCTTTAAATCCACTATGATATTATATATTATAAACATCTATACAGATAATTTAAATTGAAGTCTGTTTGTAATGTCAAAATAACAGGGTTTTACTAAATACATATGAAAGTATATACAGTGCTTATAAGAAAAAAATCTTTTTAAATTTTTTGTCTCTCTGTTTGTTATCTGTTTGTTAGCAGATAGCTGATGTTATAAGGAGTAACTTAAGTTTATTTTATTAAAAGAATTAGGGTTCCACGCAAAAAATTAAAACCCATGAAATTGTGAAAAATCAAAGAAAATCCGCAAATAACATAGAGACACAGCGAAGCGAGTTTAAGTGTGGTTAATCCTAAATTTGAATACAAATATGCACATTATCAATATTAAAATTATACTACCTGTGTAGGGGGTGGGGGGTAGGATGGTTGGGCTAATTGTGTTAATAATGCAGAATTGGCATAAGTTGGCTGTCTAGGGGGTGCCAGCCAATTGTTCCTCACAGCGCCCACCGTGGCGCGCGGGAACTGCGCCGGAGGTGCCCTCTGTTGTGAGACTGCTGCGCGGTTTTGACTGCAAAAATCGAAAAAAAAATGTTTATATTTTAAGATATAATTATAAGATACTTTGGTGCCATTTTTGTATTTTTGAAATTATTTTGTAAATTTGTGGATAGGCACTGTTTGTGACAACTATATAATGACGTTTGAGACGTCTAAAACCTGAATCTCGTCCGTGACTATGATTGCTGTAATTAGAAACGTCGGGAACTAAAAATCAAAATAAATCCGCGTAAATTCCGAAAAGACGGTTTTATTTAAAATATCGAAAGTCGAATATTTCTGTGTATCTGAGAAAGTCTGGATCTGAATCTTTCTTGAGTGATTTTCCAAAAAAGACTCATCTATACTAATATTATAAAGAGGCAGAGTTTGTTTGTTCAAACGCGCTAATCTCAGGAACTACTAATCCGATTTAAAAAAATCTTTTTGCATTAGATAACCCGTTTATTGAGGAAGGAGATATATATCTTATAATATACAGTCTATCTATTCCATACTAATATTCAAAACGTACCTTGGGACGAACCCGAGCGAAGCGAGGGTGTGTCGCTAGTCAATAAATAAAAACGGATGTTCGTATGTTTGTCCTGTAAGCGCTCCTAAAAACTCTGGTTTATTCTGTATATGCATGTGAAAGTTTCTGGCAAAAAAATTTTTTTTTTGGACGTTTATGCGTTTCTAATAAAACCAAGCTTAGGGACGCATCCTAGTGAAGCGTATGTAAATCGCTAGTGTTGTATACTTTTAGCGAATTTTCGAGATACATGTCAAAAATACCACATTTAATAAAAAAAATATATAAAGCTTAACTTCAATGAACTTAGTCAAAAATGATTTCTTTAACAGCATTTAAATGACTTTCCCCTATTTCATAATTCATAAATATATATTTTTTTGCTTTATCAGTTACAATATCATGTTTAAATCCTATATGGGATATTAAATAAAATTAAAACTTTGAAAAATGTTTTTGCTGGTTTTTTAACAGTTTTTGAATATACGCTGGCTTACCCGTATGCATCAGGCTGCGCGTCGGGCGCGGGCGGCGGCGCCGGACTAGGGGGCCGCTCTTTGAGACTATAACCACGCAATAAAACTAAATGCCTTGGGTCCTGTGAAAATGATATATAATTTTGAAACATTTTTATATTTACCAGGACGAATTGTATCCACAAATTGTGTAGTGTCTACATTGTAGTGTATGGGATAGTGGATGACCTAAGCGTAGTTCTTAACAAATATATGATGGGGAATGTGTTTGGAGTGGGGAGTGGGATAGATACCAGGCGAGTACAACAACAACGATATGATGGTGTATGTGATGGGAGTATCGGGTGGGCGGGGATTTTAGAGGGGAGTACTCCTTGGCATAGTTCTAACAATAATTACAACGGTGTGGCTTTGGTGTGAGTGGAGTGGGGGTGGGTGGGGAGGGTGTTGCGTGGAGAGGGCGACCTTGGCGTAGTTGCGCAGCTGCGCCGCGTGCAGCTCGCCGCCCGCGTGCTCGTACAGCGCGAGCAGCGCCGGCACGCGCCGCGCCGCCGCCACCGACAGCTGCGCGCCGCGCTCGCCCACCATCCGCGCCGCCTGCTCCACGCATCCGGGGGCACCTGGAGACCCAATCATTGGACTATTATTACTCATGCTAAAATGATTGGATGGATTTACACAACTACGACTTGGAAAAATATATCAGTAATAGATAATACATGTAGTAATTAAATTTATACCTAGGCACACACCAAAGTAAAGTGAAGTTTATATTACAATTCCAGTTTTATATACCAGTTTCAGCAATTTTTATGTTTATATATATAAATGAATATTTTATGCAATTATATTTATTATTTTACTTAAAAGCTTAAAGACATAAATTGCCTTATAATATTACTGAGAAGAGGGTATGACTGTAGACACTTATGACACTTTGAAGCCATTAACAAGAATATTGAATTGAATTGAAGACTAACAGGTAGTTAAACAAAGAATAACCTTTTTCACCAACAGTAAAAGGCATTCAATACTATAGAAAGTTGTTTTAAAGTGAAAAGTATTTTTTTTATCCACTAATTTTTACTCAAATCCGATGAGCCATTACAGAGTAAAGATGTCACAAAACAAAAATAGCGGCATTTATCTATTTCATCAAAAAAATAAAAAAGGCATACCAGGTGGCACCACTCCCCCTGCATTAGCTGAATAAGGCGGTGAGCAACATAACAATATTACATGAAGTGGAATGTCTGTTCTGCCAAGCTCTTCTAAGCAAGCCAGAGCTGCCATTAATGCTTCTGTTACACATGCTCGACTCTCAGCATGACCTCCTATAAACCTGAAATATTTACTAAATATATAATAAAACAAAGCAACTTATTAAAACTAAATAACATTTAATTACAATTTACAAAAAATAACTTGCAGTGCATATTTATACATTTACTTATGTAATAAATGTACAGAAATTTTTAATAGGTTAAACAGTTAAATATATTATAAATTTCTCACTGTAATTTATCTACAGTTTCAACAACATTTTGTGGACAAGTAAATGGACCATATGTGGAAACTGGAAGACCGGGATGGCAGTCAGCTGCCTGGTATGCCACTATTCCATACACTGACCCACTTCCTGCACCTTCTTCTAATGCTCCACCATGAAAATATCTAATAAAAACAAAATTAAAAGAATATTGCAAACAAGGTATTAGGTATATTTTTAGGATGAATGATTTCAAAAAACCAATAAGAAAAATGAAAATCTGTTAAAAGAATTCTATGTTTATTTTAGCAGTTTCCTTGAAATAAATTTCATATATTTATTTACACAAAGTTTCATTAATCTAAGATTACATTTAATCCAATTATTAGTTACTTACTCAAGTGTGGGTACGATATAATTAGCTTTTAGTTCATTTATATATGCGCTATTGGCTGAAGTTGCTTCTATCACAAATATTACTTCAGCCTGTATTGGAGTTTCCGGGGCATTTACAGCCATTATGTAGCATTATTTCTCATACATAATTATCAATGTGTATTAATTTTTGCTTAAAAATTACGATTATTTCATTAAAAAAAACAATAACATTAGCGTTATAACAAATCTTGGAAAGGTATTTTGACAATTGACATTGACATATTTGGATTATTAATGGCTCGTAGATGACGTATATTATATGATCAAAAATTTCTCTACCATCATATTTCATCCAAAAGAGAATAAATCTTACTGTTATTGTTTTTATGTAAATTAATATAAAGAAAATAAATATTGAACGGTTTTCTGTTGCACATATAAAATGTATTTTGATATGTTCCTATTTTGCCTCTTTCTAAAATTTCTGAACTGAAAGTAAACTGCCAAGTTTTACAATAATAACCTTATCGTTTGTACTTTTTTGATAAGAATTTTAGTTTTTGGTGAAATATAATATCAATATCTTTTCTTGAAGCTCGTACGCAAATAGTGTAATACTTAAAAGCATTTTTACTATTCAAAAATTTTAAATATTTGATACCTAGTATAATGGAAATATTATTTAGACCAAGCTTATTTAACCGGCTTTTTCGAAAACCTCTAAGAATTCCTGCTTATAAAAGTATGTCTAATACGGTAATGAAAGAAGAATTCAGCCCGGAACTATTAAATTCTTTTAATCGGGATATCAAAGCTGGTATGTATATTTTGCTGTAGTAGCTGATACATTTTAGAAGAATTTTGCAATTTTAAATTTTGTATAACTGTCACATAGATATATTTAATAAAACAAAACGCCAACAAAAACATGCTTAAATATAATAAACACATAAATTGGTATTTTGAACAGGGAAAATTGCTGATTCTTTTAGTGTCTATGTCATTTTCATGTAAGTAAATAAATTAAATATAAATTAGACCATCCATTTTTTTCTGTCTAACTAATATTCAATCATCATATTTTTAGGTGGTGCTGTACCAGTATTCAGGAGGGCCTTACTGTTCCCAAGCCGTATTGCATTGCAAGATGAATGTGGGTCTTACACTTATGCCACCCTGTATCAAGCAGCTGCTGCCCTCAGTAAAGATATTGCAGCAGAATTATGTAAGCAATATTTATAGGTTACTAATATGATAAATAAATACAATATTAGACTTGAAAATGTTTTTAGTGTTGAAGTTTACAAAAGAGGTGTTGCGTAATAATGAAATTCTAAAGCCATTATTATAATGATGCATACTATTTATAAATTAAATTGATATTATGTGTTATTACTTGGGATGTAAGTTTAGTATAATTCATTGGTAGTACTACTGTGTAATTGAAATTCACACAAAAATATAAAATAACATGTAACATGTAGCTAGGATTTGATTTTTACACAACTGCAAAGGAAGCCGCCTATCCTGGTATGTTTGTTTGTTTGTAATATTTTTTATTGCCTCATAGCTTCCAAACCCCTTGATGGATTTTTTTAATTAAGGAATTGTTAACAAAAAAAATTAATACGGGGGCTGCTAGATTCCATAATGTGAAAAAGAAAAAAATGAAAATCGACGAACTATATCAAGTGGGGTATCAATGATTAGGTATTAAAAAAATCATGTTTAGGTTTCTTTCATCATTTTTCATTTAAATTAACAATTTAGGATATATAATGATATAAAGTCGGTTAACAACCATTCTCGCTAATTTTCCTACTTAAAAATACTTAAAAAGCTGTAAATAAATAACATCTCCTGGTAAATTTCTAAGAAATTAATTAAATTTCTAAGAAATCTATTGTTAACTGTAACGCCGGCGAGTCCGCGATCGTGGAGGGACTAAATATATTATTATAAAAAAACCCGGCTGCATAAAAGCTAACTAAAAAGATAAAACCAAGTTCATGATGGAATATAGCATTATGCAGTTGGAGTCTTACATGGTTCATCCTTACCGCAAGATGTACATACTTGTATATATGTCTCCGACTTTTTTATTCTTATAATATATTTATTTATTATGTTAAAATTGCTCATAAATAACTTTGAAGAGAAATTTCATATAATACTAGATTATGAAAGGTCATTTCAAAAATCAGGAAATTTCAAATTGTGTATTGACTGATTTAACCTTTAAGATATAGTAGCAATATAATAGAATAACAATACATGTATATTAATAATTGTTATATCTAAAGTCATAGTGTCTATTTTGTCTTAGATTTGTTATTAGTATTTATTATTAATTCTTACATCTTATCTATGAAAATGAATAGTCCATTCAAAATTTTCTATATATCCTTGTCCTTTATTAATAGCAAATTATTTGTTAAGTAACAATAGAATATTGGCAAATTAAACAACAATGTCTTTCAAAATTTTTAGTGGGTGAGAGAGAACGGACTATATCATACATGTGTGGCAATGACGCATCTCACGTAATAGTGCAGTGGGCTATATGGATGTCTGGTAACATTGGTAAGTCTTTTTATTTTTTAGAATATATATGAATAAAAAAAATATCAAAGTGCCGATTATAATTGGTGTATTATGGAGCATTGGCTTATAAACTAGCCCAGACAATAGCTACACTTAAGATTTAAACATGTCCTTTCTTTTGGCTTCTCACAGTCTTAAAAATATTTTGCCTAAGTTAACCGAGTTCGTCTATTTTCATGGTAACATATAGAAAAAATAAAATAAAATTGAAAATCTTTCTTATTACTGTTTAGGGCACTTAAATGTAATAAATTATTATTTAATCTTAATCCTTATCTATACTAATATTATAAAGAGGTAAAGTTTATGACGTTGTAGGGGGTAATCTCTGGATCTACTGAACCCATTTAGATTACAAATTTGGTAAGAAGATAGTTTGAGACCCTGGGAAGGACATAGGATACTTTTTAACCCGGAAATCATCCCTTAAGGGGGTGAAAATGGGGATGGAAGCTTGTATGGGGAATCAAATTAGGGACGAATTCGAGTGAAGCGAGGGTGAGACGCTGGTCCTTAATAATTGCGTCATAGCGGCGGATGTCACCAAGGCTAGACAAATCCGCAGGAGCTATCATAGTGCACAAGTGTGCATGCAAAAACATCATGCACTCCCTATTCCTCTCATTCTCTCACTTCAACACGACCGGTGAAAGTTGACGCACAGGACCAATAAATAAATAAAATAAATAAATGGTCTCTGAAGGCATGAGCTGCATAATAGTGTTAATCTCCAAACACTGGAATGATATTAAAAAACTGACAATAATTATACTTGGCTCTACCCAAATCTCGAACTCATAAGCTCCGGAGCTGCTGTACTTAATGGTAGCCACTATACCAACGAGACAGTCATTACTATATTTTTTATTTCAGCCGTTCCCCTAACACCGATCCATCCTGAGGAAATGCTCAAATACTTCATAGGTGACAGTGGATCCAATTTGATCATCTGCTCACAAGACTATGAGAAAATTCTCCGTCCCATAGCCGAGAGCTTATCCAAACCCTTGATTACCACAACCAGAGCTGATGAGAAGGTGGACCTGAACCCAGAAGCATTGAATGAAGTTGGTCAATCGAATACTTGGTATGGCGACTCGGATGCTATGCTTATTTATACAAGTGGTAAGGTTTTTTTACTACTTACTAAAGATTTTTAATCCTTTTGTATAAAACATAAATTTGGCCGTTTATGGTTCAAACTCACTAATTTATATACATTATTTTATCTTCCTTTAGGGTATTAGAACTTTTTTTATTTTTTTTTTATTTTTATTTTTTACTAAGAACATTATAAGCATATAATAACATAAACCGTTTCATGTTAATAACTGCATTAGATAACTTAGTCGCAGTAATTAACGCCAACCTCTCTACCAACATGCTTACTACAGTTGTATATGATAAATTGTATTAATACAATTAAAAACAAAAAGTAACAGATTTTTAAATATCAAAAATACCAAAAAAAAAATAGACAATAAAATATTATAAGTATAAATAATGAATCACAAAAAAAAAATAATGGACTAGAATATATTAACATGTAGGTACATATTGAGGATATATTTTTTTTTATTTATTTTACATAAACATTTTTCTTCCTTATGATGGCATCCTATTATTATTTATTATCATACTTATAATTATTTTATTGGAAATATGATTTCATTTATAACTTAATACTAGCAGCTCAATCTTGCTTCGCTCGGGTTCGTCCTTGAGTACGTTTTAAATAGATATAAATAGTTATTAGCCAGTGTTAGCCATTTAAATTTTAATATTTTTTCGTCAATTCTTTTAATTTTTTTAAAGTTATTCTGCTATTCGGGGCGGAAACAAATCCAACAAATCAAAAACCATGAAAACGGGTACAGCAATTCTAGAGTAATAACATTGTTTTATATATATATATATATATATATATATATATATATATATATATATATATATATATATATAATATTGTATACTATTATTCTGTAAACGCACACGGGAATATTCAAGAGTTTTCTTCAGCAAACAGAGAAACACGTAGCATTTTTATATCAGTAGTTTCCACCAGGCACTACGAGCAAGCCCAAGGGAGTGGTCTGGACGCACAGCATGCTCAGTCACCAGATATGCGCCCTTCACTCCGCCTGGCAGTACTCTGCTCAGGATGTGGTGCTGCACACTCTCCCTCTGCATCACATTCATGGACAGCTTAACTCCTTGAATGCTACCCTCGCTGCTGGAGCCAGGTCAGAGATTGGAAATGCTGATATAATAAAACAAGTGCTTTGCTCTCGCTTTGCTCAGGTGTCTAACCGTACATATTATGTAAAAGACCATACAGTTTGAAAAGATTGCTAAGAAAATATTTGAGAAAATTCATAATTTGCTAGTTATCAATAATATAAGTAATGCTTTCCTCCAGGATCCGAATGCTCCCATCATTCTCATCTCCAACGGTATGGGCTCGATTGCTGAGCAGCGGAGACCGTGAGGATCCACCCATAAGGGTATTCCATGGTGTGCCAGCAATGTATACTCGCCTCGCCAATGACTATGATAAGATGTTCGAAGATAACAAGACCAGGCTGTACGTGAGGAGCACACTGTCCAGGATGAGGCTCATGTGTGCTGGGTCTGCGCCCCTGCCTGAGGCCTTGTTTAAGAAATGGGAGGAGGTAAGGAAATTTTTAAAGGTTTTTTCATAATGCTAATATTCTTCCAGCGCTCGGAATTATATCATAATTTTTTTTTTATTAATAATACTAATGACCGTCAAATGTCACTAAACAAAAAAAAAGTTGTCTGTCACGGGACGTAGTTGTCCGTAATTGGTCTTTAACCGACTTCCAAAAAGGTTCTATGTTTGTCTGTATGTTTTTTTTTTGTTTGTTTTGTGTATGTTCATCGATACAAATTAAAGTACACCGACTTCGAAAATATCTCATTAGGTATCTATTCTAAATGAAAATCCCCGTTTAGTTATTTTTTTACTTTTTAGTGCCTGGAAGTCTGTTTTTGTTTTTTTAAGTTTTTATTCACTGAAAGATAGAGGAGTTTGTGGGGCATGTTTTACTCCAGAAATATATAGTGTTCCAGCTAAAATCGAAGACCCTTAAAAATTGTGCTAAATTCGAAATTGTGATATGCAGCATGTGTGTATCTTATAAGGTACACTGACTAAAATTATTTTTGTCTATTGAAAACGTATATAGAGAAGCACTCGAGTAAAGCCGGAATATTTATCTATTCAAACAGTTTTATTACGCGTTTAATTCAATCGGATTTAGTTTTAGCTAGCTCTGACAATGAAAATCTCGTTTACATCGGTTTTTTTGTTTATACAACATAGTGGCATATCTTTACTTATCTTTATTTGTGTAAGATTAAATAAATAAAAAAAATATATTTTAAGACGAGTCTTACAAAATTATGTACTAGCGTTTTTTCGCGACTATGCCTGCTTAATATTGTGTTAATTAATATTCAACACTCTGCCGCCTTTTTATTATCCCGCTTTTGGTTTAATTTTTTTTTTGTTTGAAAAGCGACTTGATCGAGAGTGTTCTTAGCTATAATTAAAGAATTGACCGTTTGAAGACCATCAGTTCTTTTCTAGACGATACCTTTATCATTTTTCACACCTTTCTTTTGTATAAACGATTAGAAACATGGTATTTCTTTTAACGTTGAGAAATCATTTACCATTTACGTATTCCCTCTGTATACTAGAGGATATGTGGGACTCGTCGACCATAAAGCTATCATTTTTTGTTTACTTACCGATACGTATATTATACCATTTAGAGGGTAATAAAAACTTTGGTTTCTTTGGACTACAATTAAATGGACTAAAATTATTTTTTACTTTTAGTTTAGTTAGCCCTGATATATTTTCACGGATATTTTTGTCCAGTTTTGTCAATATAAATATGTTAGCCCGGATATGTTAGCTCGGCTATGTTAACAGAGAAATCTAAGACAGAGACTGATATGTTAATTACGATATTTTAATATGGCTGTGTTAACCCCTAAGTATGCTAGACGGATGTTAGCACGTGTATGTTGAGATTAATATCATAGCATGGATATGTAAACAAGGATATTCTTACCCGGATATGTCCATCTTGATTGTAGTTCGACCCTCCGGGGCGGACGCACGTTCGATGAGGAGGTTCAATAAAGGAATAAATTATGTAAACAAAATACTATAAGAAGTAAATAAACAAACTAATCTTACAAAACTAATGTGAATAGCGTTAGTGCAACTATCGGATGCAAAACTAACACGAAGTTATCAAAAATAGACTAAAATTTGACGTTAAAACCAAAAATCTACATAAACAATAACTATTATTCGGTGACTAGCGGCTTACCCTCGCTTCGCTCGGCTTCGTCTCTAATATAACAAAAACAAATCTATCCCTCGGGAACCGTATATTTTTCCGGGATAAAAAGTAGCCAATGTATTATTCCAAACTATAATCTATCTCTGTGCCAAATTTCATCCAAATCTGTTCAGCCGTTCTGGCGTGAAAGAGTAACAAACATACATCTATACATACATTTTTACAAACTTTCGCGCTTATAATATTAGTAGGACTAGTAGGATGTTCCAGTAACGTCAATTTTCAGAAAGTTTATATTTTTCCAATTCACACCAATATGTTGTTCTCGACTATTACAGATATCTGGTATCAGGTTATTGGAGCGCTACGGCATGTCAGAAGTGGGTATGGCACTCAGCAATCCCTATAGGCCGGTGGAGGGCAGGATGGTAGGGTGCGTGGGGTTTCCCCTGCCGGGGGTCAACGCTGCACTAGCTGAGTCTTCGGAACAAGGGTTGAAGAAAATTGTCACTGTTGAATCTGATATGCCAGATTTACAGGTAAGATTATGTGTACGTTTTGTAATATTTCTGGCATTTTTTGTATGGAAACGTACAAGTGCAAAGTGTTGATTTTATTTTGATTTTCTTTTATATATTTTTCAGAATCAAAAATTTTTTGTCGCTAGTGTATAAGTGGCTCAATAATATGGCAAAAACATTTTATTTATATATCCATTAATTACCACTTATTACAATGAATAGATGAAAAATATTATGATTGATATTATGAGATTTATAACACTAAATAAAACAGGCTGTATATTGTTTTTTTTTATTGAGCAACTATTGAAATTCTCTTGGGCTCTGGAGCCGGTGGTAGCTTCTTACTGACATTTAATTAATAGTGTTACGTTCTAAGAGTTTGGGGATCGAAAATTAAAGCACGTCTTTTGCACTATTGATGTTTTATTACTCTTATTTAACAAGAGTGAGTTATAAAGATTCACTAGTACACGCAGTATATACACAGTCCTGGTTAAACTCGGTCACTGGACCCTAATTTCACCACTAGATACACTTTCATTATAACTTTATATTATTTTCTTCAATTTTTCACTTTTTCGTATTTGTTCTCAAACTTCACTTCACTTCGATATTCAACTGATCTCTGGACACACTGCCGGCCATTTTATATGCATAAACCATGGACGAATTAGAGACGGTTAGTTAGTGGTTAGTTCGTTCATGGCATAAACAAAGAACATTCTAGTATTCGAACATTCGAAATCTTTCTAGTCATGTCGAATGTTTTGTTCCTCTCTCACTCTTACACGCGGCAATTTACAATTAACTGTTCTTGACTAAATTCAAAGCTTCTAGTAATGTTGATGTCTTTCCAGAATGTTTTGTTTCTCTCTTACTTTCACACGGCAATTTACTATTAACTGTTTTTGTCTGAATCTCGAAACTTCTAGTAATTTCGATGTCTCTCTCGAAATATTTTGAAAACTGTCTTAGGATGCATAAAGCATGCTTCAGACGTGTCTTTTTATTATTTTTGGTGTAATGACGTTACACACTAACAATAGTAAAAATTTAAGATTTAAAATGTCCATTTATATAAATCATATTTTTGTGTGATCATCGAATGATGAATTATCTTTATTTTTTTTTGTAGAAAATCTTACATAAATCCTTTTTTATTTTAACCTCAAAACTGAGGCAACTCACTTTTGCGCTAACATTTTTTTTAGTATTACAAAAAAATATTATTATTTACATTGTATAATCTGTGTACATTCTTCATTATGGCAATCATATCGACATGTTCATACATATGTTTTTAAATAATATTTTACAGGTATCATTAGAGAGATTAGGTCTTTCAACGGAAAAATTAGTAGAAGATACAGACTGGAAAGTCACGGTCAAAGAGGTCGAGCCCAACGAGCAGGGGGTGTATGAGGGAGAGCTTTTACTGAAGGGGCCTGCTGTGTTTACGAGGTTATTATATTGTTTCATACTGGTTTATGATATGTCCCCGAATCCCCTCGTGATAAGTGCATCGATAGAAAGTAGTGTATGTAAATTCAGGAAATAAAAGACATTTTAAATAAAACTATCTTTTAACTGTATATTCAGTCTCTCCCGTGACCATGATTGCTGTAAAGCATTCGAAACGTCGGGAACCAAAAATCAAAATAAATCTGCGAAATAATTCGAAAAGATAGTTTTATTTAAAATAGCAAATATTCGCGTAAATCTAAGAAAGAATTAAATAAATGACATTTTGAATTGTAATTAAATCTGACGACACGTTTGGTTCAGTTTGTAGTGATCCTACTTGCTGTGCAAACGGTCGCGGGTTCGAGTTCCGCTGACATTCATTTGTGTGATGAGCACGAATGTTTGTACTCCAGTCATGAGTGTTTATTTATAATATGTATGTATTTAAAGTTATATATGTGTAGTGTACCAACTATCAGGTATTCATAACACAAGCCTCGTAGCTTACCGTGGAACTAGATGATGCTGTGTGTTAATGTCCCAACATATTTATTTATCTGTTAAGCTTTACCATTAATTCACAAACTTTTGGTTTTTTAATAGTAATTTTATATCCACAGATATTGGAACCGTGCACCAAAACCTGATTCCGAAGACTTCACCCCCGATGGCTGGTTCCGCACAGGAGATGTGGCCGAGTTCTCTAATGGAAAATTTAAAATTCTAGGCAGAATTTCAGTGGACATTATAAAAACAGGCGGTTACAAAGTGAGTGCTTTACAAGTAGAGGCCGCCATCTTGGAACACCCGAATGTTCTAGACGTAGCTGTTGTAGGCATAGTCGATGATAGTTTTGGAGAAATTGTGGCGTGTGTAATCGTTCTGAAGGATAAAACGACCTTGACCTTAAAGGAGTTAAAGGATGTAGCAGGAAAGAAATTGGCTCCGTACCAACTGCCCAAAACGATGTTGTTTTTAGACGAAATGCCCCGAAATGCTATGGGTAAGTTAGACAAAAAGCTCATCAAGCAAAAATTCGGCGATAAATTGGTTTTAAAAAAGGCGTAAGTGAGCTTTTTCTATATGTGTACTTAATTACAGTAAATGTAGTGCTTTTCGAAGGGATGTTTAAGTAAAATATAATATCTAGTGAAAACACGGCAACTTCTTTTTTGGAAGTTGGTTTGGAACAATTAAATGAAAAATAAAGATTTACTGCAAAATTATTTATGCGAAGTATAGTTCCTCATTAAATATATACATTTTAATTTATTGTGTTACTTTTGAAATAAAAAGAAGGCAAATAATGGTTTATTCGGTGACAATTTGGAGACGAACTTGTTTTACAGAAGACTTAAAGCTTTCATCACTTATGAGTATATTATTATATATATATATATATATATATATATATATATATATATATACAATATACATATCTGTAGTTATTAGCTATTCAGGCCTTTTTAACGTCCCACTGCTGGGGGTGGGCTTCCCTTCAATACGAGGGGGACAGGCCATAGTTCACCACGCTGGCCAAGAGTCTTTCGAAAATTTATTAGGTTATACCAGACATGCAGGTTTCTTCACGATGTTTTCCTTCACCGTACGACAAGTGGTAATCATGTTAGAAATGATTCGCACATGAAAGTATCAGAGGTGCGAGAGCCGGGAAGTGAACCCGCTTCACTTGGTTACCCAAGCGAGCGCCAATACCACTAGGCAAATATTTTTTCAAATATTGAATACTCCATATTGATGTTTTAGTGAAAAGAACATAATAAAGACTGGAACTATTAAAATGTTATACAGTTTGAAATTGGACTCTATCTCTTTGGATTTTTTCACAGATTTATTTTGATTTTTGGTTCCCGACGTTTCGAATGCTTTACAGCGATCATGGTCACGGGAGAGACTAATGTTTTATACGTCTTAAAGGTCAATATATAGTTGTCAGGTAAATACTGTCTGTAACAACCGTCGGGAACCAGAAATAAAGAAATCCGCAAAAAATTCCTAAAAGATAGTTTTATTTAAAATGTCAAATACAATAGATAAGTAAATCTAAGAAAATAGCACACCGGTTGTCACATAATGTCACAAGGTAATGTAGAGTTGCATGATGTGAGTATATTTTTAATACAACTGTGTAATAAATAGTATGGTGTTCAAATGCCGGATGAACAAAGGCTTAAATGCTTTATATTTTTAATGACTGTAATCGATAATACACTCTACAGCTTAAGCAATAAGGTTTATTTTATTGTAACGATACTGGGAGGATTTTATAGAGCACAAAATGATTAATTTTCATTGTTGTTTTTTTCTTTCATGAAACTTTTGAATATCTTTTATCGTTTATTTATTGTAATATGTACAGTTATTAGAAAAAATAAGCCATATATAAGATTCAATTATAAGAAAAGATAGCTACAATTGATTTCTGCTTGAAGAAGAAGAATTCTGCTAAAATATGCTTTTAAAAAATATAATATATGTAACACTAATATATGTAGTTGTGAATTCTTAATTTAAATGATTATTAATAATTAGGCATTTATCGTTAGAAATTTCCTTTCAAATATTTAAAATATCTTTGAAGGAGACTGATGTTAGTGCAATGCATTTAATATTTTCAATATTTAACGGGGTTTGTTTGTTTTTACTATAAACATTTTTAAGCTTAGCTTGGATCGTATGAAAATAGTTAATACGTGTGTGTTTTTTTGTTTTTTTTTTATACAATAGCTTCGTTATATAATTGGAATAACATCCAGCTCCAAAAAAACTAAAATTTGGTGTAAAAAAAAATCTTAAGTATCATAATACATATACGGATACTTAAAACGCCCGCCATTTTGACGTCAACGTGACGTCATAGTCTATGACAACATTCAACTAATTAACAGGCCTAGATTATTAGTATCAATTGGGAACATCAAACAACAGCGCTCTGTAATTATAGACTTTGACGTCACATTAGGTCTGACCAATGGTGTTGCGTTTCATCTACTTTGAATTTCCCACCTATATTTGCACTTTTCAATAATTATTTTCTTAATGAAAAAGAAATTGCAATAAAAATATTGATATAGGCTTAATTCAAAAGCAATAAAGATTATAAAAAAATATTTCACCTTTATTTAAATAACACGCATATTCTCTATCATATAAAATATACTATTAAATAAAATAAAAGAGCATTTTAGGTTTGTTGATCAAATATGGGGTTATGTTATAAATAACTGAATAACTAATAAGATATTTTGAAAAGAATACAAAATAAAAATAGTTCAAGCTTTTTATTCAGATAATAATAATAAATTAAATAATAATTTTCGTGCAATTTGAAAGTTCCAAGCCATATATGTATGATAAAAGCATATTATTGATTTGTTTATTATATCTATAACATATTTTATTGACTGACTTGACTTGCCTTATTGTAATATTTAAAAATGTTTATCGTTGTTTTGTGTAATAAAATAAATATTTTAATAAATTTTAATCTTTTATTTTTGTCATTTTTTATCATTTACAGATAAAATAATATTTAAATACTTAAAACTAATGTCATTAATACACGGTAAGGGCTGTAATGATAGTAAAGATATTTTTAGAAAATATTTAACCGTTCTTAAAAAAAATAATTGCAAATAAGGATTTTAGACTATAATTATATACAATACAGTTAATATGGAAAAGATAGACTATTTATTATATATATTATATAGCCTATAACCTTCCTCAATAAACGGACTATTGCAAAAAGAATTTTTCAAATCGGATTAATAGTTCCCGAGATTAGCGCGTTCAAACAAACAAACTGTCTCTTTATAATATTAGTATAGATTTTATATTTAACTAAACAGCATAGAGTACATATTATGTACTTATATACGCTTTGCCATGATTATAAGAGGCTTATTAATTATTATTATAAAATAGTTTGAAAATTAAGAACCAAGCACATGTGTCGCGGTAATGAAGAAATATCAGTGGAAATATGGTCGGTTAAATTAATCTAAGGCATTAAAATTTTATTGGGTCACATTTATTGTTCACATCCAGTATACAGTTTTGGTAGATTTTTACTTATTCTACTTATATAAATAACAAAATATTATTGTTCATCACATTTTTTTTAAATATTTATTCCAAACGAGTACTTTCAATGAAGTACCTAGCCGCAGCGCTGGCGTTCAACAGGCATGGCGTCGAAAATGTTGCCGACGAGACAGCCTCCGACCAACTAGAATATGTAGCTACGATTGTTGCAGATATTCCCATTAACATAACAACAATAGCACATAAAACGTCATACCATTTGATTGTATAATCATTCTTATCAATATCAGGACTATTGTCTTCGAAATGTGTGAACGTTCTGTATTTAGTCTGTGCCCTGTTTAAAATTAACGGCGATTTTGACACGTCTCCATTTTGATAGCTGTCAACGTCAGCGAAACGAACAGTTTTATGTTTTACTCGTGATTGTACAGCGTCTCTTATTTTTGTCCGTATGTAGCAAAGTCGAAGGAAGAATAATGGCGGGAAAACAAACATAATTGGTCCGGTGAGTGTGGAACCCACTATCCCCATGACAAGGTCGAACCTAGGTACTGATTCGCCAAGGAAGACAGCCATGCCAACAATTCCTGAGCGGAGTAGGCAACGTTTTATGTTGAATTCTGTGGGTAATAAATAAATAAAGTTACTTAAAAACAGTCATGAGTACTGCCGACAGAAGTGAATACTTAAAACTACATATAAACAAATAGTTGTTATTTTGGATACTTAAATTAATTGTTTATTCTTAAATTAAAATTTGTGTTTCCATTTCATCTGGTTTTGACATCTATCGGCACTCGAGTGTTATCGTTAACACGTCACGTGACCATGTCGATGACGACTTACACGAATTTACTCCCCATCCAAACCAACTTCACTTCAATAAAATAAATAAATTTCTTTTGAAACATAGACCTAGTACATGCTGTCGCCGATTTTTTAACGCGCTGTGGACGCGTTTTTGATGAGAATTTGTAACATGAATTGATACTAAGGTAAGCAAAATTTAAGTTCATCAACACGCGGTCATGATACGTTGTCGGCGCGTTTATAAAGTGGAGTGTGTTTAGGCCCTTATGTTGGCACACATTTATGCCTGTATTATAAATATCTCGTAGATATCTAGTTTCGGCGATATTGGGCGTCATGACAATCATTTACATAAAAGGACCTTATTATACTCATACTAGCTGTCCAATCGAAATTAAAAAAAAAAATGCGTGTTTTTTGAGTTCATATAAAAATCTCATAAAAACGGACTTTCGAGTTTTGTCGAATTTCACAATTTTTTACAAACAGCTTTTACAATTTTTATTAAACTTTTAAAAACCGTTTTAAGAAAATTTGCCATACTGCTGCAATCGTTTTCAAGTGTCGTTTTAACCGACAAACAGCATTACATTTAATTATATAAAATATGTATTACCTTGGGGTATATTGAGTAAATCTTCGATATGTTGGAAGAGCGCAGTGCTGCTGACTGCGCTCGACAGACACAGCTGCAGTGTCACCAGCAACGCTACTATGAACAGAGGAACTGATGGTGGCATTCCTGAAAACAAATATTTTAAGTACTTGTTAATGTGCAAATCTATCTCTTTCAGTACTTATTACATGTTAATTAAAATTTTATTTGATTGACACTTTGAGAAACATTACATACGTTTTTATAATTATTACGTTTGATACATTAAAAAAATCGGACAAGTGCGAGTCGGATTCGGACGTAACTACATGTTCGATATTAAGCTGGAGCGAGACTTATATTTGGTCAATTTTTATTATTATTTGGAAAACCCCTTAAAACCCTCTCAAACATTGAGATACAGAACCCAAAATATAGACTTATTATATTTTACAATCAAAATCTTCAAAAATTCCTTTGATGACACTTTTTTGGACAACCTATTTTTTTAATGTTGGGAAATGCATTTACGCACGGCGTGTGGGACTCACCGGCGTAATACAGCCAGTACTACCCACTAAAACCCAACAAAACCTTCCCCCGTCTTAATGGGGCGTCGCAGGATCGCTTACGCATTCAACTACGACGCCCCGACGGCAGGTCCGCCGAAGCAGACCACCACAACCATGGGGTTGCTCCACAGTCCACTCTGCTATCAGAGAAGTACCAGGAGCAACCTGCAAGGTACACCGCCCCCCGAAGAGGGCAACTTCCCACCGCCCACCGAAGTGGGCAACCTCCCCGTGCGTTTCTTAGCTTCGCGCCCGGTTGGATTGCCGGGCAGTACTGAGCCCCCCCACCACGACAAGGTGAACGCACGTTGTTACAACCTATACCCGAAGTTACAATTATCTTCTACGAGATTCTATCAACGAATTATACCATTACTTACTATATAGATATTTCTTACTAGTTTCTATTCTATGTACATACCTTGCAATATATTATTTTCTACGTGATTTCCGTATCTGTTGGCTGCTAACAGAGAGGTGATCATAAACATGATGCCCGTGACGATGAAGCCGCCGAGTACAGCGGAGTTGATTTTTCGGCTGTCTTTCATGTCCACTTGCAGTGTAAGAAGCATGGGATGGATGTCGAACTGGAAAAAGATTTTATTACTTACAAGGATATTTTCTACAAACGATATCGCTAATAGATAAATGGAAAATATATGTGAGAGACATAATCTGGATGACGTGACATTATCCTTAAATATATTATCATATATATTTACATTTCTAATAAAACTAATTAATAATAGAAGAAACGAGTATTAAGCGACTAAACAAAAATGTCACTAATGAAACTCTCTAAGTACAAGCAATGCGTTTTCATTTCGCTCTAGCCTTTATCGCCTTCGAACTATTACATTAATTTTGATCCTAAAAATCCTGATTCTTTTTCTAAAATAAAAGTAGCCTAAGTTACTTCTTATAACATCAGTTATCTACCAGTGAAAGTCCTGTCAAAATTGGTCCAGCCGTTTCGGAGATTAGCCAGAACAAACAGACAGACAGATAAAAAAAATAAAAATTGTTGTTTTCTTTACTTTCATACGCATTTAGCAAAAAGTTGTTATTTTGACATAACAAACAGACACTTCAATTTTATTTATCTATATAGATTGGCTTTATTAAGTTTAATAACTACCCAACCTTATCGTATTCACTCCGTTAGTTTCCCTTGTATATACGTATTCAATCCTTTTTCCCACTGCTGGGCACGGGCCTTTCCCTTAAATTAACGTAAATTACTTAAAAACCCCATAAATACCATAACCAATCAATGATTAATTTAATACCTGAAAAGCAATAATCCCATAAGCGACCAAGAAGTCCCGTGCGCTGGGCGAGTACAGCAGCACGTCGCCCGAAGGCGGCGGCGACGCGTCGTCCAAGTAGATGCAGCACCAGGTGCATATCGCTACCGTCGTCACTATACACGCCGATGTTAGAGCTACGGGCCTGGAAATAAAGTATTTTATACATACCCATGCTTCGCTTGAACCGTAAATCTGTGTCTAAAATAGAAGCCTAAGTTACTTCTTATAACATCATTTATCTGCCCAGCCGTTTCGTACATTAACCGGAACAAACAAACAGACAAAAAAAATGATTTTATTTTATATGTATCGTAAGTATATACTTTTATATGCATTTAGTAAAAAGCTGTTATTTTGACATTACACAGACACTTCAATTTTATATATTTGTGTACATTAACATTTTCTTTCGGCTCCGCTCGCGGCGTTTACATATGTAGAATTACTCCCTTCCAACGACCTGAGTAGTCGTTGCTCCCTTCTTATAGGTCGTACGTAGTGTGATAAAAGATAGCCTATCCTTAATAAATATCTCTTAATAAATAGTTTTAAGACCCCACAATGATTTTTCAAACCGAACCAGCAGATCTAGAGATTAGTGTTCAAACAATCAAACAAACTCTTCAATATACCTATATATTTTTGTATAATATACATATTCATTCTATGTATTCTATAGGTTGCTATCTTAGTTAATAGTTTAGAGTACTAGGTAGCTTCCATATAAGGCAAACTTGACTAACACCATCGTGTCTAGAAGAGGACGTAAAGCCGTATTTATTCAAGTTTTTAGTTTAAAACAAAAAAAGGAAATTGTACTTTAGGCCAAAAACTCCGAGCGAAACTCGGTAGTCCAGGTACTGTCTTATTATTTGGGAAATCATGATAAAACTTACAATAATCTAAAAACTAAAAACCACATCTGAATACTCACTTCATATGTTTAGGAGAACCAAGCCACATCACAGGACATAGCAAAACGCCAAGAACAATCATCCACAGGCAGTACGAGACACGCACTCCCCCGTCAGTTATCTTCCACCAGAACATCTGAAGACTTTGTGATGCTGCAACCAAATAATATTTAAGATGCAACTCTTATCTTAATAATATTATAACTAGCAGAATCCGCGGCTTCACTCGCGCTAAAACTATAAAAAATATCTAAAAAGGTAGTTTCATATAAGCTTTCTTCCCCTATTTTACCCCCTTATAGAATGAATTAGATAATCACATGGAAATTAGATAATCTCCCGCGGTAAAAAGCCCTCCAACTATCTCCACACAAAAAATCACGCCAATCCGTCTCTCCGTTTCGACGTAAAAGAAGGACAAACAAACACAGTTTCACATTTATAATATTAGTATGGATTTATATCACTACATATTTTTGTTTGTTTTTTAACAAAGTCCCACCACCGCGTGCGTCTGTCTGTCTGAACGTGATAAACTCAAAATCTACCAAGCGTCGAAAACCATGGATAGGTTTATTTATTTTTTGTATAAATTGGCTGAAATATGACGATGATTGTAGAAGACGTCGGAGAAAATCATTCCGACTGGGAGCTTCACTGGCGTGCATACTCAGCGTATACCAATGGAGTTGTATAATAACAATATATTACGGAATTATTTATACCTAGGCACGTACCCAAGCAAGACACATAAAAATGTATTCATACATTCTGGTATATTACAAATATTTGTAAAAAATAAAGAGTGATATTGATAATGAATCATGATAATGAAAAATCAAGGGAAGCGAGTGTGGGAATATTACAAACTAGGTATGTTTTAACGGTTAGTATGAAATACAAATCTTTGAATTTCTCGGCCTTTCTGTACTATAATATGCATGCGTAATACATATAAACCTTCCTCTTGAATCACTATCTATTAAAAAAACCGCATCAAAATCCGTTGCGTAGTTTTAAAGATGTAAGCATACATAGGGACAGATAGACAACGGGAAGCGACTTTGTTTTATACTATGTAGTGATGCTAAATACACCTACGGGCGCACCCGAGCAAAGTAAAACCGAGGGTAAGCCACTAGTTTACAATACAAAGAGGAAAAAAGCTTAAAAAGGTCTAATCATTTAATAAACTATTTTCATGTCCCAGAAGTTCCGTCACAGGAGACATTAATTCGACCGGAGGCGGATTTGTGATTCACATTTGATCTGCAGATAATTATTTTATGGTTACATATTAACATAAGTAAGTAGTATTATTTATAATATGCGCTCAAACCAACTTAAAAATTAGCCTCAACTAGATTCTCATCAGACCAGATTCTAGTCTAAGTTTTCGAAGGTCAGTCAATATATACCTATATAATATTTTTTATAAGGGGATAGGAAGTTAGAGACGTTAAGAATTTTTGCTATAGTAAAACGATATTATGTTCATTCATAATTTCTATTTCTAAAACATTAAACATAACAAAAACATTAAATATCTATATAGATATATGTACAATGTACCTACATATTATGCGATGAAGCGACGATAATCTGCTAGTAAAATTATATTATAAAGCCAAAGAGTGTTTTAGAATCATCTATAGAACACACTAATAAAGAAACATTACATAGATTAACTATTTTTTTTTATTCAAACCCAGAACCCCCATAATTACTTTATGTTATTTAAGACTAGCATTGCCCGCGGCTCCGCCCTCGCACAGATGACCAAAAACTAAATTCTTAGGTTTTACATATTAGTATACGCTTACATTGCAGTTTTTGTATTTTTTTCTCAGAAATGAAACATTTTCCCGTGGTAAAAAGTATCCTTTATGTTGATCCAGATAACCAGCTATCACCATACCAAATTTCATCAAAATCCCTCCAGTGGTTTTTCCGTGATGCGGTAACAGACAGACAAAAATTCTAAAAACTATAGATTCGGCCTCTGTATCGATAATAATGTCTATTTCAATAAGATTTTCAAAAAAATATTTAATGTACAGATTCGGCTTAGTTACAATTTTATTATATGGATTTGGTGACAGTTTCGAGTCGAAAAAAAATCTTTTTAACAATCAATAGCCGGACTTATAAAAATAATACATGATATTAGTCATACAGTTATATAGTGATAGACAGTTGCTGTATCAATAGGGTCAGCCTAAATTTTTAAACGGGTTAAAGGCGTCATTTTAATTTTTATCCAAATTTGTGGTGAAACTCATAAAAGACGACTTGTACAAATTGTTATACAAACAAATAATATTTGTAATATGGTGTTAATGAGCAGTTCATTTATAATTATATTATTATCCGTTTTCATATGGTGACTTTTAATTCTAGAACATCTAAGTAATGTGACATTTTAGGGCACTATATTGGCTGATACTTTCTGATTAATTTAAATCTTTTCTTAAATCTATACTCGTTTAATCGTGCGCTGCTAGTTTAAAAAAAAAATGAAGAAATGTTGGCAATGTTCCTAATATATAATCTATATTTTGTGACTTTCATAACTTTTGTACTAGGATTATAGCAGATTGTACAACTTTTTAAATCGTTTGTACCAGTACCATAAAGGGATGTGGAACACTGGGGTCCAACAATGTGGTCAAAAGCATTTTCAGGGTACCAATGGAAAGAAAAGTGTGTGCCATATTGTACGGGTTTTTATGGGAAAATTTCCAGTAGAAATTAATAGTCGCATGAGACAATGTTGCCTAAGACTGGACGTACATAAAGAAATCAGGCCAGTAACCATTACACGTAAAGCCTGCTTTCAACTTAACAAGCACGCATAGGTTCTTAAATGCATGTAACATTATACCCATAAAATAACTCCATGGAGCAAAGTCCGTCAATTTGTTGCTAAGTTTCTGCGTAAGGAAGGAACAAGGATAATGGAACAAACTCATTTTACACGTAAACTTATTAGTAAACATTGTACCTATTTGCATTATAACAGTTATCTTAGTAAAATATTCATAATAAAACCTTTTTTGGTTTAAACTTACCGAAAATAAAATTAGGAACTCCAGCGCCAAAAACCGTCGCATCTATTAAAAACGTCACTATTGTTCTCGCTTGGTCACCGAAAGCTAATTCCGCTAGTGCCGCGTACGGGAACCTAAAAAAAGGCAAATTAAAAATATTTAATAAGCAAAATGAAGCAGGCAAGGATATTTTACCATCGCTTAAAATAAGATGACAAAGAAGAATACGATTTCTTACAAGAAAATTAAGAAATGTGAAATGTGGTCTTTGGCTAATAAAAGTGCAAGAAAATGACATATAAACGATAGGTCACGTGGTGGGAATATGGCAATTTCGAATATCTTTGCTCAGAGTAGGTTATTTAAATTATGCGCCACTAGCGACTCACCCTCGCTTCACTTGGGTTCGTAGTTAGGTACGTTTTAACGGTTAGTATGGAATAGTAAAACTCTGTGACAAACAAAAAAGAATTTGTCCCACGGAACCGTACATTTTTTCGGGATACAACGTGCTCTTATAGACTATTTAAATCTATCTCTGTGCCAAATTTCATCCAGATCCGTTCAGCCTTACTAGCATGCAAACATCCATCCATCCAAACTTTTACATTTATAATATTTATAGGATAGCAACTAGTAATCTCCTACAGATTGCTAATTTTGCTCATCAAACACCTTTAAATGTTTAAATATCCTCGGGTAGATAAATGACAACATTTTTTTTCATATCCTGTAAGATTGGGAAAATTTGTTTTGAATACGCTTTTATTAGCTTTATTTATTACTGTGTAATGGAATCTATTTTAACCTGTTATATACAAACAGGTCGAATCGATTTATTTACACAATATAATGATCATTGGATCATCCCATTCTCCCATCCCACCTCATAATTGGATGAGATCAGATGGCCAATAATGGAACTCTTTAATATCTAATTATTAAATCTTTGATTGTGGGCTTATTTGATATTTCATTTATTTTATATCGGTTCAGCAGTTGGCCATGGCAAGGTAACAAGTAGACATACGTTCATTCTGTCTGTCTGTCTGATTACATATCAGTATGTATTTCGCGACACCCTTTCAATAGACAGTGAACAGAATTCCTCTTAAAAGTGCAAAGTATCACGTAAGTTTAAACGGCTCTTTATACTTAGACCGACAAACAAGCAAGTAGGCCCTTATCCTCTTTCCTCCAGCACTCTATTATAAGGCGTCTTGAAACATGATATGGGTGTATTGATTTTCAGACACGTCTACAATGTAGATATCTCTATAATATTGTAGAGTAAAGTTTGGGAGATTGGTAAAGGGAGGAAGTTAGTTTATTTTTTTATTCACCATGATTGTTTAAAAATTTGGTTTCATTGTTTACTGTACTTTTCTTGTAACAATTAAAAAAAATCCAAAATTGGCATAGTACATTCTCTTACGGTAAAATGAATTGAATGGATATGATTCAATCCTAGAAAAAAAGTGGCGGAGAAAATATATAGAAGGTACTATTCTAGTATAGTATTATATGATCTATGTATTTAAGGGCAATACAAGGGTTTCATTGAAATTTAGATTTTTAGAAAACGATAATTATTATATAACTAGCAGAACCCGTAGTTTCGCTCGCGCTAAAACTAGGTAGGTACAACAAAACTAAAAAGATAGGTTTCATACAAACTTTCATACCCTATTTTGCTCCTTTACGGAAAACACGTATTTATTTAATTGTATTAAAAGCATTAATACCAAGTTTCAAGAAATTCTGATCATAAATAATTTTCTGGGTTGTATTATAACGTGTTTTTCCATGGGAATGAGATAATTTACCGCGATAAAATGTAGCTTATGTCACTCTTCAGCCCTCCAACTATCTCCACACAAAAAATCACGCAAATCGGGCACTCCGTTTCGCGTTGAAAGAAGGACAAATAAACAAACACACTTTCATGTGTTTATAATTCACATTGGTCCAGTCATATTAGTCAAATTAGGGCAAGTATCTCGGGATTGGAGATAGGAAATGGAGATTAGCTATAAACTTGTATAAACCTTTATTTTGACACCCTAAAACTTCTCTAAAAACCTACTTATCGTAGGGTCTCCGCGACTACAGATCCAAGGTTACAAAGGTCGAAATTTCTTGCACATTTTTTGCAAATATCTCGTTTCCTATGGGTTTTATGCTATTCGTAATTATTTTAAATATTGTAGAGGATTAAATTTTCTGTAACTTATGTTTATATTTTTTTCATATCTTGAACCGTTTTCGAAATAGAGAGCAGAGAGCGCGCAGTGTTTAACTATTGAGAGTATCGTCCCGTCCGCGTCCCGATTAAAAACACACCGTATATAGTCTATAAAATATTGATAAATATATAATTCTAAACAATTTGCGTTTTTTATTAACTATTACGTTATATTTATTATTTTTTTCATTAATTGAGTATAACACCTACTCGTGTAATTAAAAAGTTTTTAAGGGAAATACTTTAATTACATTTTAAGTAGAAAATAATTAAGTACATTCTTCTTTAAAATCCGTAAACTTTTAGGTTCCTTCATAACCTTAAATTTTTTACACATACTTAGGGAATACGGATCCCTATTATATAGTACAAACCTTTCTATTTATACTTAGTAGGGACAAATGCTCAATTGTATACTTACGACCGGCTTCTTTTTTCAGGGAACCACTTTCTACGAATTTCATTCGTAGTTTTGTATCGTATCTTAGTAATCTACAGACATACAATTTTAAGAGTTATGGATAATTTGTGTTTTATATGTAATAATTCAGATTTGGGAGGTGAATTATTAGTGGATGTAATGTAGGTAGGTTGTATGAAAACTTTGAGAGCTGCAAGTAACGATCGGAACGACGGTCTTATCGATCATTTAAAAACCATAACTTCTGTAAAAGTGCATGAAAAGTGCCGAAGTGTTTACATTAGTAAAAATTGTATTCTAACAGCAAAATGGCAACTAGAACAAGACGAAACTCCAGCTTCTGCAACTGTACCGCGAAGTGTTTGATTTTAAAAATCAATGTTTATTTTGTGGTAAAACAGCGAATGAGGTTTTTAAGTTAAGAAATAATTAGTATACATTAGGTTAGAATTAAAAAATAATCAAGGTATTTCCCTTAATAACTTTTTAATTACATGAGTGAGTAAATGTTATTACATTAATAGATATTCAATAATGAAAAAATATATTAAAGATAACGTAATAGTTAATAAAAAGTGCGAATTACTTAGAAATATATATTTATCAATAATTTATAGACTTTATACGGTGTATTTTTAATCGGGACGGGCTCTCTGCCCCGTATTTCGAAAACGGTTCAAGATATAAAAAAAAACAAACAAAAGTTGTAGAGAATTTTATCCTCTACAATATTTAAAATAAATACGAATAGCAAAAAAACCCATAGGAAACGAGATATTTGCTAAAAATGTGCAAAAAATCATTTTTTTGACATTTGACCTTAGCATAACTGTAGTCGCCGACACCCTTTTTTTTTAACGTTGGGAAATGCATTTACGCACGAGGTGTGGGACTTACCGGCAAAGCCAGTACTACCCACTAAAACCCAATAAAGCCTTCCCCCGTCTTAATGGGGCGTCGCAGGATCGCTTACGCATTCAACTACGACGCCCGACCAAAACAACCATGGGGTTACTCCAAGGTCCACTCTGCTATCAGAGAAGTACCAGGAGCAACCCGCATGGTACACCGCCCTCCGAAGAGGGCCGCCTCCCACCGCCCACCGAAGTGGGCCACCTCCCTGTGCGTTTCTTGGCTTCGCGCCCGGCTGTATTGCCGGGCACTACTGAGCCCCCCCACCACGACAAGGTGAACGCACGTTGGGAGGGTAGTCGCCGACACCCTACGTTAAGTGGGTTTGAGACAAGTTTTAGGGTGTCAAAATAAAGGTTTATAGCTGATTATGTCCAATTCCGGACTGAAACCCCCTAAAATTACTGGACTACATGGATATTGGATAATGATTAAAAGATACTCATTCATCCTTCTTTTATTTAAAAAAATATTTACAACAACAACACTCATGCTTAAATATCTAGAAATAGTCCACTAATACCAGTTTATACAATACAGCTGCAGCGGTTAATTTATTAAAAGATCAATAATATTGTATTACGTATGGCGTGTGGTTTTGCATTTTGAATATCAGAGTGCAAACACGTGCCATACGGGTTTTTTTGTAGTATAAATAAACTTTGGCATAATTTTTATAGTTTAAATATATATGTAAATATTAATCGGTTCACAAAAGGCCGTATACTCATTGAATCTAGACAATTTTGTCCTGTTTTAATCTTTACTAGCCTAAAGTTTAAATGCTAGGTATTTCTTGCGGAATTAATAATTCTACCAATACCTAATAGTATTGATATTTTTTTTGCTGCATTTACTATAAGCAATGATTTCGAATTAAATTACGTTGTTTTATGATGATAGGCATATACATTATGTTAAAACTATCCTTTCGGATTTATCTGCGGATTTATCTTAATTTTTGGTTCCAAATGTTTCGAACGCTTTACATCCATCATGGTCACGGAAGACTGAAGAGACTAAGGTTTTAGGTGTCTCCAAGGCATTATATAGTTTATTTAAAGGCATTATATATTATATAATAGTACACATAAAAAATCCGAAAAGATAGATTTACCTATTTAAAATGTCAAATATTCGCGTAAATTGAATAAAGTATTTACAAATTAGTTATATGAAATCGACTTTTGTTATTTATATTTATAGTCTGCACTCTGCACTCACCGGATTTTTTCCCTAATATTCGGTGATATCTCGTGTGCCAGAAGCCAACTTCTACCCAACAGTACCGCAGTATACAACTGAACTCCGAAAACTGATATCACTAGCGGTATCCCGTAAACACCTATTAAAAAGAAAAATAATTATAAGATTGATTATATTATTTTTTCTGCCAAAAATCACATTTTTGTTTCGATTGGAAGGTCTATTGAAGTAAATTATGTAGCTATTTTAAGTGTAATTTACCAAGAGATTTTTTTCAGCTAAATCCTATTTAGGTACACATTAAATATATTACTAAGTATATTATTTTTACCGTAATCTATTTTATGTTAAGCTCACCACAAGAAATAATACTCTTCGGTAATGCTACAACAGGGAACACTCCAAATAGATCCACAATACATAGTATAGTGAACAGTACGCTCAGACCGCCAGTAGTCTCTCCTGCTGTATACCTCTCATGGAAAGTCTTTACTTCAACCTGCTTAAGTTGGGAAGTACCCGCTGTAGTAGCAGCACCTTGGACGTTGTCACTTGTACGTAGAAGCTTCATTTTTACCTGCAATTCAATTCTCTTGTTATTGGCTTCAAAACGTGCCAGTTAAGCACAGAGTACTTCGCCAATGTCACGTAGAATGGAGAATAATACTTAATATTATAATGCTGTTCCATTGTTGAGAGTGTAACCTCTTTACATTGAAATAACCTGAACCATGCTTAAAATTAATATTTATTCAATATCTTTGTAAGTCCATGAATCATGGACTTACAAGATATCATGGACCATGACAAGAACAATAATGGGCCGTAAGTGGAAAAGAGAAATTGACATTTTTAGACCATTTTATTTTTGTATTAATAGAATCTTATAGAAATATAAAGAAGTGAAAATAAAAGAAAGTGAGATGTTTTGTGGTGTACGTCGCGAGCATACACGCTTTAAGTGGCAATATACCACATACACACTCGTAAAGGCAATAAAAATCCATAATACGAGTTGTCAGTTTTAAATTCCGATCCCAGGACCCTAGCTCGTATATCGTAACAATATCTTTAACAATATCTTTTTTCCGTTTGGTCCCTTTTTTAAGCAGCTATAGATCAATAGGACCCAGTTATGCAAGAAACAGCCATGTGCGTAAAAGTACCAACAGAGTTATAAGCATTTTATTATAAAAAATAAAATAATTATAAAAAATAAACAACACTTATATAAATATTGTTCAATTTTAAAATAACCAGAAAAACAAAACATAACCCAAGTGCAACTATCGACAGAAAAATGATTTATAGATCGAAGTCACTTTTATTCCGATTCATCAATTGGCTCCCTTAAAAAAATTGTCTAATGCAAAAAGCCATTGTTTTAGATATTTATAGCTTATCCACGATCTTATAGGAACTATACTTAAAATTTTAGCCCTTAAGTTCCAGCGTTATAGTGTAGGCGGTAATGAATTAATAACCCTCTTTATTTGTTTTGCTGTGATTATGAAAGTCACACTCTTGCTCTTGTTTGAGATTTTAAAAGATGATACAAGTTTATTTGAATGTCAGAAATGAGTTTTATGAGCCCATTTAAGCCCCAGGTAGCTTTCTGATAATAATTAATCTATATAAATAAAAATGAATGTTGCTAAGCGCAAAACTCGAGAACGGCTCGAACAATTCAGCTAATATATTTTTTTTCGGAAAGTTTTAATAAAGAGAAAAAATATAAAATAAGGTAAATATATAATATGTATATATATATATATATATATATATATATATACAACAAAATCGTGTTGGTTACACCATTTATAACTCAAGAACGGCTGGACCAATTTTTATGATATTTGATTTTTTGGATTTCTCTTGGTCCGGAATATGATAATAAGTATTAAAACTTCAGAAAAATTAACGAAGAAAAAAATATATGGCTAACGCTGGCTAATAACTATTTATATCTATTTAAAACGTACCTAGCGACGTACCCGAGGGAAGCGAGGGTGAGCCGCTAGTGTAAAATAAATATAACAGATGTAGGCTTACTTTTTTGGGACGATCTAAATAATTACGTAATACGTTATAGTTATCTAATAAGAAAAGAACAATAAACAAAAGGATCACGACATGAACACAATCAAGAACAACAAAAAAGATAAGATGCAAGAAAGTCCTCAGTTCATAATTGAAATCGATAAAATAATTTTACGTCCCTAATTCCTTAGATCTATACATATTTTTTAATATTAATTAAATACCAAATATAGAAAGATATTAAAAGACAAAATATAAAAAGACTGAATTTACAATCTATATTCTATACATATAATAATAAAATTCTGAGTCAAATCTGTACATTAAATATTTTTTGGGAAATCTAATTGAAATAGTCTGACTGGCACCGACTTCGAAAATATCTGATTAGGTATCTATTCTAAATGAAAACCTCCGTTTAGTTATATTTTACATTTTAGTGCCTGGAAGTGGTTTTTTTTAATTATTTTATTTTTCCATTTTTCGTAGAGACCAACGACTACTCAGCCCGAACTGAGTAGTTGTTGGTAGAGACGTAAGGAGGTAATTTGTAAGAAGAAAGTTTTTTAATAAAATATTCGATTAAGGAATTTATTTAAAAAAAATAAGTTATTTGTTGATTGTCGATTTCTATAAAATTAAATGGGACCACCCTTCGTAACAAAAAAAATCGGTGAATATACATAAAAAAAGGTGTTTTGGAAGTCGGTTAAAGAGGGTTTTTTTAATATTTATTGACATTATTTTAGCGACGATATTAAAAACTTTTTTATATAAGTATAGGTATATAACTAACGACTTTAAATCCTTGCTTGCTAAGGTGCTTCCAGAATTGAATTGAATAATTTGAGAACGTATAAAAAACAAATGTCTAAAGAAAAAAAACTTCTTTTGAAATATGCACCAGAGTTTCATCACAATCGGATCAATGGTTTAGGAACGCATAGAGAACAAACATACGAACATTCATTTTATTTATATAGTTAGAAAAAAGAAGATAGTTAACAATGTAGTACAGATTATTTTCTTAATAAAAATGTGTAGAGCTTTATCACGTGCCCACATATTTACACTGAGGTCTGAGCATAAACAATGTAATTGTAAGTAAAATTGTGTAAAAACCCGCAACACTTTAGGTAGATCTAGTAGCTACCTGCGGAAAAACTAAACCTAACTAAGCCCCCGACGCAAAAACGACAGGGTGTTATAAGTTTGTCGTATTTGTGTGTGTATCTGTCTGTGGCATCGTAGCTCCCGAAAGGATGAACCGATTTTGATTTTGTTTGAAAGGTGAATTAATCAGAAGTGTTCTTAGCTATGTTTGATGAAAATCGTTCCAAGATGGTCGGGGGTTAATTAAATTTTTAAATTTAATTTATGTACAAAACAAATTTATTACAGAAAGATATAAGAATATTGTTTCGTAAAAATAATACAAATATAAGTGCACGTTTGTTGCTTTCTAAGTATTTTGTATAAATTTTAAATAAACTTATATTTTCAGATTTTGACCTCCTCGTGACTGTTGATTTAAATTTAAAAGCATTTGAAACGTTTGAACTTTGAAATTTAAATAAAATCGAAACTAAAAACGAGAAGACAGTTTTATTAAAAAAATAGTTTTTAATTCTTATTAAGTCAAATATTGACGTAAATCTACATATTATTTGTTATTTACTTACTTACCTACATCTAATATATTTAACAAGGAATTTCAAATCCAATTTAAGTCAATTAATCACTTTGCACGTCCACATTCTTTCAACTAAACATAATTCATCAATAAAATAAATTCGAAGACGCGAGAACCTGTTGTACGTAACGCGACAGAATGGACACTGGTCAATAGCAAAACGAGCTACGTGGTTTTCAAAATGTTACATATCAATTATCATAGATATTATAAAGCTGAAGAACTTGTTTTTTTTTTGTTTAACCATGCTTATTTAGTAGTAGTAGCCAGATTTGAAAAATTCTTTTTGCATTTTATACATATTTTTTGAGGAAGATTATTTATTATGCTGCGCAAATTTAACGCAGACTTGTCCAGATATTCTATGAAAACCAGATATTAAATCAATGTGATTTCTTAAATATATAATTTTTCCAATCAATCAATCAATTCGTAACAGAAACGCATCAAGAATGATTTTTTTCGAAAGTTTTATTTTTCAAATAATGTGCCTTTTTTTAGAGATTTTAGGATTTTTCTTGAATACTACCTACTTGTTAGCACCTCCAGGTAAATTTCTAAGAAATTAATTAAATTTCTAAGAAATCTATAGTTAACTGTAACGCCGGCGTGTCCGCGGTCGTGGAGGGAATAAATATACAAATTAAATTCTCACAGAAGGAAAATATAGTTTATTATCAAAATCAATAAACATCAATTAAAACAAAATTTACCTTGACCAATTATTATTCTCAAAAGCGCGGATCCAGTTCTCAAAAAAAGTTGTGGTCACGGCCACAGGAAAATTTACACAGTGTGTATTGGAGTACGGACATTCATAAAAGGTACTATACTCTGCGTAGAATAGAAAACAATCTCTCTGCGGTATCTACGCAGACCGGGAGAGTCTCGAATATATTGGTTTTAAAAGATTTTTCTAATGCAATTAAGGCATTAGATGTAACATCGCTCTATCGAACTCAATTAGAGTTATGAGCATGTCCACCGTGCCCATAATGGGGGATCCGCACTTGTATTTTCATAATAAATTGAATTAGATTTTAGACTTATGTCCAGTGCAAGAATAAGGTCGATCGGATATTCGATATTCAACCTTATTTGTACAGTGAACCGCATGGGCGAAGCAAGCGTGGGTTTTTTTTTTTCACTACCTGGACTTGAGTAACATCATGCTATAATCCTTATGAGAATAGCATTTATACTTAATTAAACTAGCGACTCACCCTCGCTCCGTTCTAGTTCGTTCCAAGTTACGATTTAAGATTTAGTATAGATTTCTCAGAGATGAGATATTTTTCCGCAGTAAAAAATATCCTATATGTTGACCCAGATAACCAGCTATCATCGTACCAAATTTCAACAAAATCTGTCGAGTAGTTTTCTCGTTATGGTAACAGACAGACAGTTTGTTTCGAATAATAACCGAAACTGATTTTAACGGGACTTTCACTGGCAGGTAGCTGATGTTATAATTTATTTTAGAAAAAGAATTAGGGTTCCGTTAAATATTAAAAATTAAAACGTAACTAGGGACGCACCCTACCGAAACGAGGGTCAGTCTCTAGAGAGTTATATAACAAGCCAGATCAAGCAAGATATTCTTATTTTCTTTTTAATTAATTGCCTTCATTCTTGTTTTAAAAGATAAATCTTTTTATATGATTTACGCAAATTACTATGACTTACGAGTATATATGAATATTTTATTCGTGGATAGATTTTAGGACAAAAAAAGTTATATTAACTTTAATTAAAAAACTTTTATCAAAAAAATAATAAAAATGCAAAATTATTTATTAATTTTGAAAATTGAAATTTGTACAAGATACACAATATATATCTGAATAATATATATTGAAGTTTTTTAATATAAATATTTAAAATTATTATTATTTATACGAAAATTTTAAATTACAATATTTGTATCGTGGGGTCCAGCCATTTTCACATTTTAACCAACAATCACCATTTACAATAATGGAGCCATTTTTTTAGCTGAAGCTGAACTCTTCAATACAAAAATAATTTATTAAATCGAAAGTTTTTAAATTTAAAAAACAAACAAGACATAATAAAAGTTCCTATTACGTTCATGAATTATAATTTATAGTTAACAAGCGCTATATTCTATATTCCACGCAAGTTGAACAAAGCAATGTTCTATTTATAGATCAGAACTGGGGTGAGGGACTGGGCGGGGAGCGCCAGACGCCACTTGCGCACTCCCCACTGCAGTGCTTTTTTCACGCTTGTTAGCGTTGGACGCCATATTTTCGTTCTTAATACAATTACGTAGTGATTTCAGCTATTTTTAGTAGCTTTGAAATGCCTCGAAGTATGGTGTTCAAAAGTCAGTCAAGGCAAATGATCTATAATGTTTATTGCTATCTCAAAAAAGCGTCTAAAGGTAATATGTACGATGTACAAATAATGACATGTACTGCTGAAGCCACTAAGTCGTCAGTGTCCACAGTTAGAAGAGTCATCAAGGAAGCTAAGGCCGGCTCGATTACAGGACTGCGGACCCCCGGAAAGAATCGGAAAGGAAAAAAACCTATCACCGGTGTGAGTAACTTAGACAAAGGTGTTATCAAACGATGCATCCATAACTATCATGTAAAGCACCAGGAATTGCCTGTTATGGCGAAGCTTGTCGATGAATTGCGAAGTGAAATAAATTTTAAAGGTTCCATTTCTAGTCTCCGCCGGATAATTAGAGAATTAGGTTTCAAAATGAGAAAAGCAGAGAACAAGTTAAGTGTTTTATTAGAAAAAACTGATTTAAGATTGCTGAGAATAAATTATTTAAAAGAAATGCAACAATACAGACAGGAAGGTCGGCCTATTGTATATACATACGTGTACTCTACTCGGCTAAAAGCGAAAAATGATAATATAGTCATATTATATGCTGCATCAGAGACTGGCTGTGTACCAAATGCCTTATTAACTTTTAGGTCTTGCGCAATGACATATGAATATTATGAAAAATGGATCCGGTCTCAATTGATACCAAATCTACCAGAAAATTCTGTTGTTGTAGTTGACAACGCCCCCTATCACAACAAACAACACGAGTCCTCACCAAGTTCAAATTCGAAAAAATCTGTATTGCAACAATGGTTGACTGAGAGGCAAATACCATTTACCTCTGAGATGTACAAGCCACAATTATACCAATTAATTAGGATGAATGAAGATAAAAAATTTACCATAGATTTGATTATGGCCGAACACAATCATACTGTTCTACGCTTACCTCCTACTCACCCAGACCTAAATCCCATCGAGATCATGTGGACAACTATTATGGAGAATGTGAATAATATCAAAGGCCAAATATATATTTGTATGATCAATAGTTTAATAATGGAGAAAGTAAATGAAATAGGTGAAGAAGAATGGAAAAATGTATGTGCCAAAGTTATATCAAATGAAAAAGAGTATGCGAAATGCGACAAAGTAGTCGACGAACTGACAGACGAGATAGTAGTAAAACCAGAGCAAACTTCAGATAATAGTAGCAGTGAGTCAGAAGATGAGTGCATTAGCTTTCAAGATACCCAGGATTCTTCTGGTTCGGGAGACCCATTAAACACTGATACACTTTGTATAGTAAAAGAAGAGGCGTTTGAAGAAGAACCAATGAGTGATAATGATTAATATGTAAGGAATAATTATAATTTTATTATTGATTTCATTTTTGGGAGCAAGGCTCAGAAACCGGTTTTTAAACCGGTTTTGGTCATTGACCGGAACCGGAAGGCTTTTTCGGCTTAAGATTTCGGTTACGTTCTTTAACTGCTTAAATCTGAGAGAACGGTTTTTGACGAATTTAGGTTCCATGAACAAAATTAACCGATAAAAATGAGTTTACGTGTCTTTAAATTTAGCGCGTCTTTGCTAATGGTGAATGGCTTAGTAGAAGGATGCATGCACGTTTCTTATTTATGAATGAATTAACCGGTTTATTTCGGTATCAAAACCGAAATCCAACCTTTCTCTAAGAATAACCATAATCATTATTGGTTCGGTTTACTAAACCAGTTTTCATTAACCGGTTAAAGAACGCGCGGTGTATTAACCATTCATTACATTACCGAAATAAGCCGTTTTTTTACTGGTTTCGAGTCCTGCTTGCGAGAGGAAACGGAAATAAAGCTTCAATATTATGCTCTCCATATAATCTACACTGCAAAGGATCTGTCAAGTGCGTAATAATATGTACAGCTTAATAATACAAGCCCTTTACCAACATTTCATTTTATTCTTTTTAAACTTAAAAATATAATCTTATTGTTGTATTCAGTAAATTATAACAATTATAAAATTATTACGTATAGAAAATAAAATTATTAGATTTGAAATGAGATTTTATTTTACATGTGTTTAGTCGGTGTTTTAATTACGGCATTCTACTCTTTTCTTTTGCTTACAGCTATTTACGCAATTGTTATGCTAGATCCACATTCTTGCCAAACGTCGTCTAGCTATCACAAATTCAAACATTAGTAGAGGGCATTATGCCTGGCTTGTGTAGATTTACCTCTCCTACTACTGGTAGCCGTTCCGATGGTGTCAGTTTTTGTGAACAAATCAGAGAAAATCTATAGTCAATGCTTGTGATGCATCCACAATTCACACGTTTGTGCGATTATAGAGGTTTGAAGTTTGTGGCAAGCGTGTGGACCCCGCATAAGGTCGAATATATTTGAAACTAGCATTGCCCGCGGCTCCGCCCGCGTTCAGATAACCAAACACCAAATTCTTCGGTTTTACATATTAGTATACTCTTACATTGCAGTTTTTGTATTTTTTCTCAGAAATGAGACATTTTCCCTCGGTAAAAAGTATCTTATATGTTGACTCGGACCAGCCATCACCATAGGTACCAAATTTCATCAAAATCCCTCCAGTGGTTTTTCTGTGATGCGGTAACAAACAGACAGACAAGAATTCTAAAAACTATAGATTCGGCCTCTGTATCGATAATAATGTTTATTTCGATAAGATTTTCCAAAAAATATTTAATGTACAGATTCGGCTTAGTTACAATTTTATTATATGTAAAGAGATTAACATTACATTGATAAGAAAAATACTGTAGTGAATGGTAAAATAAAAAAAATACAAGGCTATCTTTTAAATGATAAAACCTTGGCCTTGGTCCTTGACTGTGCAAAAGTTAATTTAAGACTGCTTATACCGAAATAGTTAACCGGACTGTTTGATTGGATTACCTGGGAAATGTCACATCCCTTTCTATCTATTCTTCTATAATATATTTGTAGGTTACCTATTAAATAGAAAAATTAATTGTACACAATGTTTTTAAATATCAAAAAGTAGAAAAAAAAATATTTTAGTATTTTATTTGTTTTAACGATGTAAATGGATGAAGCAAATCAAATAAAATTTATTTCCGAGCTTATGTGGCTTAAAATAGGTATAAGTATAAAATGTCATCCGGACGTAGGTCACATGAAAGCTATATAAAAAAAGCCGCCTAATTGTTATTTTGTGATAAAATTAAGACGACATCTATATACTTCGGGCAATATTTGTTTTATTTTTACTACCTACTTAAGTACGGCTCAATAGATATGAGGGCGTTGCCCTTTACATTTGATGTTAACTCAATTGGAATGGTTTCTATTCTGTCACAGTAACATCACGTAATAGTACACACATAATATAGATCCATGGACGAATTGTGGTTAATTCGTTCATGTATAGATCATATAATAGGTATGTACTGTGCTGGATATAGGTAGTTCTTGCCAAACTTTCTGGCCGCCCTGAATTGGCGCGACGCGCTATACTCGGCGCGGCGAACCTTGATCCCTATGACAGTTCGTGTTAGTGATGGGTCGTGTCTTTGGTCGTGTCGATAATTTGCTCATGTGGCGCTTGCCCATACAAATCACAAAAAAAAAAATTTCGCTTTCAGCGCTGAGTATTTTCACTGTAAACTATATAACCCTAAAGTATTATCACTTACTTTTGTTACACCCTTGATCCTGTGTATGTAAATAAATAATTATTAAACAGTTTTTGTTTCATTTCATTTTGTCCTATAGCTGTTATTTTTTAATTCTTTTTTATTCTTGAGTATAATATAATCATGTATGTATGAATGGTATGATCGTAATATTCTGTTCCATTCCATAATATATGAACTAAAATGTGAGTATGAAAAAAAATGTGCATTCGTTTCCATTACCGACATTTTTTTATCGATACTTGCCGCCCTAGTCGATAAACGTCACACGACGTAAGTTTTGCAGGACGTAAACATAAATTCAGATTGAGATAACTTCTTGTAAATGTTAAGAATTGTTAAAAATATCAACGGAATATCATTACTAATGGTATAAAGCTACGTAAAATTTATAAATGGCATTTTTAGACGCCCCCAATATGACGCCACTACAATGTTATATGGTGACATTAGCTGTCAGTGTTATAGGGATCAAGGTTCGCCGCGCCGAGTATAGACATGGTAATGATTGCTACTTTTAATTCATTTTCATTTGATAAATTACGTATATTTTTCAGTGATTTCACCTGCTACACAGGCAATGATTTTTAATTTCGACGGTCTGGTGTCACACATAATATAATTTTCTATTAAAATGAAGTATGAAAACTTGCCCGTTGGTAATTGTTATAGTGACGCATCGACAACATATATTTTTCTCTTTCTAACTCGCCCACATGCCTATTTCATGCCTACTCCCTCGCTCTCTAATTATCAATGACGACGATTTAATTCTACGACAGAATCCGAACACGATCTGATATTTCATCAAGTGTGATTTTTAGCAGTCAATGAGAACTTAAGCACGATAATGTATGCATAAAATTACCGTGACGTAAGTAGCAGACGCGACGTATGAAAACGCATTTCATGTGAATTTTCACTTGCTAGTTGCTACTCATGAAATGTTCCATGCCTACCGGATGCCCAGATCGCAAGGTATCGGGCGAGGGGCGCAGGGGACACAAGCCCCCCTTCTCTGCTTCTCCCCGAGTGTGTGTCGTCTGCGTGACACATCTCTACATAAACTAAATGCACACGACACAATTGAGTGCCTTCATAAATTAAATAAAAAATAATAAAAAAGAGTAAATTCTTAACTATAATCTATCTAATACCTTTAAACGAGCAATTCTTGTATATTTATTAATTTATTTTATTTTATTTATACCGGCGATCTCGGAAACGGCTCTAACGATTTCGCTGAAACTTAGTATGTGAGGATTTTCGGGAGCGAAAAATCGATCTAGATTAGTCTTATGTCTGGAAAAACGCGTGTTTTCGAGTTTTCTTTCGTACTATTCGACGCAAAATATGGTCGCTAATTTCGCACGCTCGGGTATATACATCGTGGTCAAGCGGCCAAGGCGCAAGATTGACAATCACAGGTGTCCGTGTTCGAAGCCCGGTCGGATACAAAGTTTTTACTTTTATTTTTTTTAATATTTACTTTTATATTGTTTGTACTTTTGGCCAAAAAACTCTAAGCGAAACTCGGTCGCCCAAGTACTATAAATTATATGTATATATCCGCCAAATAAGAATACTTTATCATTCATACGTACATAAAAAATACTAAATATATAAACATAATATATTCATAAAACACGTTTGTAAATTATCTAGTTTAGCTCGTGCCATTACAATATGTAGGTATATAGTACCTACCAGATTTTATAATGTTACCTTTTATGAGCTTTTTATTCAATTTGTGAATAAGGAAGATATGTCTTTCCGACTTTGAAGACCTTATTAATATAATAATTTATTGTAACCGAGTTATCTTTTTGCTTATTACTATTTCACGGTCAATCTCCTGCACTCATCATACATATATTTTGTGCATATATTAAATTCTTTTGTGTAGTGGCTCCTAGAAGTGCTATTTGGGCACAATTTAATGGTGTAGACACGTTATACATGTTATACAGTAACTATGAACTACGGTACGTTTTAACAGTTAGCTTACCCAGATTAATCACTTATTTAATTTCTTAAATCTATTTTTAGGAAATCGAACTGAAATTTTAAGTACCTAAGTACAAATAATTACACGTTTATGATTATTTAGAGTTAAACAGAGCTTAAATTGTTTACTATACAAAACTTGATTATTTAATAAGTAATTAAACCTATTTTAATTATGTAAGTATAAGTCGGTAGAGGTATAGTCGGTTAGACTGATATAAGTCTATCACTATCTCATTCTACATATGTGAAGGCCTTAGAAGGTGAATTTTGTTCTCGAACATCGCGACGAATGTGACAGATATGTGATCACGTTACATTGGTGGCGGTAACTTAAAAAAACAACATAGTACCTCATGTTTAAAACTAAGAAGGCTGATCTCAATAAGGTTGTTTATGTTGTTAGATTTCAATATTTTAATTTTTAGTCGCGTAGAAGAAATGTATATACTTGTTAATTAATGTATATACTCTTTATTATAAACTTCTTGCTAGTTCACTATTGTGAGTTATAGTTTACATTCTGTAATTAGGTTAAATCTAATACCTACACATGTACCTATATAGTATAATTGGAGCTCTGAATAATCCGGCATACTAGAGCAATTACTCTTTGTCAATAGGAAATGACGGACTGGAGTCAAGTTGTATT